AATTAAATAATCAATTAACGGTCACCGTGACTTTTTTTTTTACAGTGGAGCTTAATTGGTATGCTTGTATTGGCTAAATTTCACACATTTTGGAGTCTAAAATTACCTTCAAAGCAATTTTAGGTTCTAAAAGGGCACTAGAAATGTCATAGATAAGAATAAGAGCAATAACCATGCACTTTAAAGGCATTTGCGGTCTGAAAACAGAACCTTTTCTGATCGATTCCACAACGATTTTTTTTCACAATGCAATCGCATGAACAGATCTGGTCTATACCTTTAAGTGTCAATAATAACGTCATTCCCTCTCTCTCTCTCCCTATTTTCCATTCTCTTTCTCTACCTCTTTCCGAAGCAGAGTTTTCATCTCTGTAGTATAGCGGTCATTCATTGAGTGTTATAATTTGATTTCTCTAGGAAGAATAATTAAATAATATTTTTAACTGATACTTTGGAGGAGACATATTGGTCTTAATTGTTTTTTCCAAGGTTCCCATTTCGCCTATTTCTCATTACACACCATCACACACATATTCTACTTTCTCTTAATTTCGCATTTCTCTCTTTCTTTCCTCTTTTTCTTTCTTATTATCACAATCTTCCTTCTGCCACATCCTCATTCTTTATCTCCCCCAGCCCCCATCTCTCTCTCTCTCTCTCTCACTCACTTTTTTTTTTTTTTTACCTTGTAATATAATTTTATGTAAGGATATACATAAATCGGCCCCATCTCTCTCTCCCTATCTCTCTCTCTCTTTCTCTCTCCCTCTCTCTCTCTCACTCACTATTTTTTTTTTTTTTTTTTACCTTACAATATAATTTTATGTAAGTATATACTTTTACCAAAGATATAACGTAGAACGCCGCGTATATAGCGCTTTTACTTGTTAAATTTACATTAAGATTTCCATACTCTGTCATCATCAGGGAAGCTCTGACCTACATTCCTTCCCCTATACCTCTGTTCTTTGTACTTCTTTTGTTCTATCATTCTACATTCACCTACAAGCCTCCTCTTATCTATTCAACCTTGCCTGCCATGGCAACATCTCTCTCTCTCTCTCTCTCTCTCTCTCTATAAATCCCCGGGTCTTGACTATATATCAAACATCTGACTCACAAGACACCTGCCACTCTCTCTAATCCTCCACTGAAGCGACTTTACTTCTTGCAAATTTGTATTGTAAACATGTCGGCCATAATTATTGGCAGCCATCTTCGAAGATGCATCAAAATAAAAAGTAAGTGCACCTCAAGTTTTCAAACATGTAGAACTGAATTTGTTAGTGTTTACACCCCATTCCAGATCAGGATTCCTTATCTCCTTTCTTCCGTTTTTCTATCTCTCTATCCTTTTTTTCTCCCCTCTCTCTTTCTCTCAATTTCTATTTCTTTATATAAGCCTTCTCCCTATACTTTCTCCTTTTCTCTCTATTTCTATTTCCTCCTCTTTATCTAGCTGTTTATTTTTCCATTACTTTCATTTTAATTTTCTCCTTTCTTCTCTATTATAATTATTTTACTTTAATAGTAATAATGGTGCCTTTTTATATAGCGCACATGTCCGTCACGTTGTGACGCTCCTGGCGCTGCCCCGATTATTACCCTGGCTTTAGCAAGGCAGCCACTGCGGCGCACTAGCATTTCAAGGAATTAATTCCTGCCAGGTACCCATTTACATCACCTGGGTTGAGTGTGGCAAATGTAGATCAATGTCTTGCCGAAGGACTTTGCCTCTCCTTTCTTTGCCGCTAAAAACGGGGGAAAAAAATGAAATACCATTTAGGCATACAAACACAACTTTAGAATAAATAATATATATAATATATATACATATCGAACCGAATTACACACAATTTGGAAGAAGAAAAAAAAAATAAAGGAAAAAGCTAAATAGGTCTATGTAATTCTAGAAAGGGTTTGATATTCATTTTCAACGATATGATGGTATTCCACTATGTTTTTACTCCCGCAGGAACACTTTCTCCAGGATTTGTTCCGTCAAAGATAAGCTCAGGGTTTGATGTATAATTGTTATTTGGTATTGTTCTAAGGACGTCAAAATGATTATTGTCACAATTGTCATGGAGATGGAGGGAAAGATGCTACCCTATGCTTTGAAGTTTTAGAATGTTTTAGAATGTATTTTCAGTTTTGTTGTTCCTGTACTTGCCCAGGATATGTTGTTATATGTATTTAAGAAAGAATTAATTAATTATATAGCATCATTAATAGTTTTCGGGGAGAATACTATTTAGAAGAATAATCCGAGAGAGAGAGAGAGAGAGAGAGAGAGAGAAATCAATCTTCATTCTTATATATCTGCTGCCCTCTGTAGGAAGAATCCCTACAAGGTATGGAGCTCTATTTTTTTTTATTTCCTATTTTATTTTATTTTATTTTATTATTTTTTTTTTTGGGGGGGGGGGGGCAGGGGAGGGGACCCGGGCCCCCTGGATCCACCCCCTGACGTACTAGTAATCTAAGGAGATTGTGTCCTGAATATTATTTGCCTCGGTATCAAATTTAGCCCTATAGTTAATATATTAAAAGAACCCACAAAAGTCAGATAACCTTTTCATTTTTTCTCTCTGAAAACTTGTTCCCAGCAAATAAAAGCATTTATCGATATGTTTTTTTTGTCTGCTTGTTTTGTTCTTCGTTTGTTTTCGATTTTTGCTTTTTCTGTTGTTTTTGCTTGCTGTTTGTTTGTTTTTGTGTAACAGATTTTTCGGGCCAATGGCGCACCCCTCCTGGAAAAAAATCACAATCGTTCTTTACTGTGTACTTTTTTTTTTCTTTCCAGCAATAATTTTTTAATTTTTTATTTTGTAGCATTCTTTATTGCATTCATTCAGTACAAATGAACAAAATCATACATATTAATCGATATACATAACATATCAAAATGTTAAGAAAATTGTACAGCCCTCAGAAATACAAAATAATAGTTCAATAGTAGGCTACATAATGTCTTCAAATTATTCATTCTGAATGCATATTATAGATTTGTTTTTTGTTTTTTGGTAGCATAAAGTTCATTGCATAGTACAAATGAAAAGTTATACATCTTCATTTTAATTGATATTATAACATATCAAAATGTAAAGAAAATTATACAGCCCTCAGAAATACATAATATAGTTGAATACACAGTATGTCTTCAAATTAATTATACTGAATCATATATTATAGATCAAAGTCTTCCCCTCCCCCTCCCCCCTTCCCCCGACAAACATACAAACAAACAAAACAGAAAAAAGAGAAGCGAAGAGGGCAGTATCTATTATAGCGGCAGAGCGCCATCCATTATGTTTTCACTTTCATGCTGATCATCTGTGACACTTTCAAATGCCCTTTAACAAAAAAATATTAGTGTCGATGTATTTCGCTCTGTAGCAATCTTTCTCTCTTGTTGTTTACTTTTAAGCAACTTTTTGTATTTGCCTATCTTCAGTAACTGTTGTTTCCTCTAATCAGGGGCGGATCTAGGGGGGGGGGGGGGAAGGGGGTTCGGCGGTTTTACCCCCCTCCCTTTGGGGCCAAGTGAGAAGGGAATACATGATGGTTCACGAATATATCACAGCTCGGGCAGTTGACCCGACTTAAGCAAGTAAGTAAGCAAGAGAAGGGGCGAAAAAAAAGGGGGGGGGGAAGAAGTAAACAAAACTGAAGAAGAAGAAAGAAAAAGAAAAAGAAAAGTAAAACAGTAAAACGGCGCGGTTTTAGGAAAATCCTGGATCCGCCACTGGTTCAACCCCCTCGACCCCGGCCCCCCTGGAAAAAAGCTAGATCCGCCCCTGCTAATCCAAGTGTGAACTTAAGTTCCGAATCATGTCCTTAAGAATGGGAAGATCGAAGATACACCGTTCCCATAATTTTGTTACCATATATTTCACATTTAAAAAATATGCCTATAAGTTTCCTCATCTTTACCGCAAAATAAGCATTTATTATTCGATATGAATTGAAACCTGTATACAGTCATGATGGTTCACGAATATAATAGTATAGAGCAATTTAAAATGAAATTCTCTCAATTTATTATTCAATGTGCTTTATAATCTAGGACGAAGAAAAGCCTTTGTAATTTCTTTTACCGACATAATGATAAATTATTGTAAATTATGAAAACTAATAGGAATGTCAGCCATATTTTGTATGTACGCCCTATATAAATTATTCGAACAAACTGATTCAATGATTCAAATTGAAAAGTTTTCTTTGAAAAATAAATTCTATTTTTAGACCGTCAACTATTAGGTATGCTTCATTAAATCGATTTTCCATCATCATAGTTCAGGCGTGTCTGCATACATTTCTTTAATTGCTATTTTCTCTTCATTTAGTCCCATATATCTATAATAAGTATCTGACTTCAATTTTCCTTCTTTGTCTATAATAAGGTACAATTTATAGGTATTTTTAAAGAAAAGATTTTCATGAAAATATATTTGTCCTTTTTTATGAATAAACCTAGTGTTAAAGCTTATCTGCCATAGTTTACAGGAGGGATTAGACCGCCCTACAAGGTCACTGGACAGGTGGTTATCTCATCAACTCAGCTCTCAGTTAACATAAGAAAAAGAGGATCATGGGGGACCAATGGTCACCGATTAGGCATTGTTTGTTATATAGAGGGTGCAAGTACCTACAAGTAGTGCAGTGGGCCTTTAAGGAAAATTTCATTTTTTTAATAAGGTGCATGATGTGCATCCGTTCCAATTCATATCAAACCAAATATTTATCATTTCCTGGTAGTATTTCGGTAACTGTATGTTGATCATATTAATATTTACATTAGAAAATTAAATTTCCTCCAATTGGTCCCAGTAGAAAATTAAAGTAGCCTACTTATTCCATTTCACCAGCATCCATTCACCCTTTGTGTACCTTCTCGTCACAAAGTCTACTCGCACAGTTTGATCCGACGGTGGGTCCGGGTGATCGCGATCGCAAACTTTATAACAAAAACACCTGTTCCGCCGTGACGTAAGCTAGATATACCGTACCGTGAGTGTTGACACCGGTCCGGTTAAGGAAAAAGACATTTCAATCTATTAAAAGTAAGTATAATACTAAGTATTAGCTCAGCCTTGAATGTCTGATTATGAGTGCATGGTTTTTAAGTTAGTGTGCCAGAGTGAGTATAGGGCAGAGATGATAGTTTATACGATATTTTGGTGATTTTTAACGCACGACTTGCCGACTTGCGAACGAAGAAGTCGGGCCTAGAAGTAGAAGGCGGCCCTGGCAGTGTAGCGGCACCGGTACGATGCGTGAGTCCTCGCTTGAGCGCTCGCAGGCTAGGCTTTGAGATTCTTCGATGCGATTGATTTGTGTGTGGGCGCGGTCGGGCATGCAGTGAATAATATTTCCAAATAGGCCTTCAGACAAGTTCTTTTGTAAATAAGCAGTGCATTGCAATCACAGTGGTCATTGTTGTCTATTGTGCATTGTAAGTCTAGCCCATTTTCAATTGAGAGTCAAAACAGTGATTAGAGTATAACTGTTATGTTAAGAATCAGTTTATATGAAGGAGTTGTCGTGGTTCATATTGTTTTGACATAGACCTATTGTTTGTTGACATCAAAGTAGTGATATGATCTGAGCTGAGAGTAGATTCTTACTTTACTACATGTACTAGGGTCTACTACTAGTAGTACTAGTCTCATGCCTTGACTTGGTCTAGATTAAATGTTAGATGTTTCAGGAAGGACGGAGAAGATTTTTTTACTTGTTCATCTTTTAGGTCTACATGCATTACACGTCTTCATCCTTATCCTCGTATTCATGGCTTGGTTTATACAACAGAACTTATACTTTGTTGACATCCTATTATGCCACATGCACAGGGTGAAAAATGATATGTTATTATTATCATTAATTATTATTATTAATGCAATATTATTATTATCATTAATTATCAGGATTATTCCTTTGATTATTATTAATTTTATATTATCATTATCATTATCATTATCACTATCATTTTCATCATCATCATCATCAACATCACTGTTATTATTATTAGTACTAGACCCTATGTTATTATTATTATTACAATGATTATTTCTTTTATTATTATTAATTTTATTATTATATAATCATTATCGTTATCATTTTCATCATCATCAACATCACCGTTATTATTATTATTATTATTATTTCCCTTCGTGGCAGTTTTGTGATTCCGTGGACCGTTTAGCACCAATCAACCATGAGTTTCCAAGAGGAATGGGAGAGGAAGAAAGAGGAAAGACATCGCAAACGCATAGAGTCGATGGATGGAGGAGTTACAAAGTAAGTTCAGCTACCGTTAAGCCGTTGACTACTGAGTTATCTTATTCCGATAGGCTTAACACAGGGACCACCAGGTTCCTGTAAGCAAAGGGTTAATACTCATACCTTTTACTGCCAAATTATGTACGATTATCTTTCGAAAAGCCAGACTCGAGGCTGAAGAATTAACAGTAGCCGCTAATAATAATGTGGGATCAGACATATATGTACAGTGTACATGTACAACTAGTTTTGCCACTTTAAAAACAATTCTATATAATTTACCTCTTCGGTTCTCCCCCAGTAATGTAAAAGGATTAGTTTCTCAGGCATCTGTTAGCATTGAGCTTTTAATTACATGTTTCATGATATAAATGTCTGCAATTTTCATTCATTTAATGATGACGTTTTTGTAGTTAAATGCTGAACATGTTACAGAAAGAGCATTTGATTAATTTAAATATTGTTTTCATTCCTGCTATCACTGGACTAGCAGGCGATACATGTACTACACGTAAGTACATCTACTGTACATGTATAGCCTAAATTAAGCTTGGGCAAAGCGACAAGGGGCACATTCCGGATTCCCCCTCCCTCACCTGCACCAGACAGACAAAGCAAAAAAAGAAAAGAAGGGTAGAATAAGAAGAGAAATGGGAAAATTATGAGAAAATAAAGAGGATAGGACCCCTCCCACACCAGGCATACCCTTCCCCTCATGTTAGAGACATTGTAAATGAGCATAGCATATCATGAGAGACCAGTGTGCACCCCCTCCCCCTCCCCCTCAAATGGCTTGACTTCTAGGCACTGCATGTGAGAACAAATAAAAATTGAATTATGCTGTTAGTGTTAGACCCAAACTGTAAAATATTTATATCTGAGGAGCATGAGTGAATGGTTAATTTTTGGGGAAATTTATCTGACTTTATTTGCCTAAATCTTGACAACCTCTACTACATATATCTACTATGACATAACATGGCTAAAATTGGATATTTTATCCCCATGATGGCTATAGACTTAATATTTTTGATTACTATGATGGATACTCTTCAAGATGCAGGCCCACATGGGTTTATTGGAATACAGCTTATGATGAGAAAAATGATAACATCAAAATAACATAAAATCCCTCACACCAAACCCTAGTCACTTGATATACGATGTACATGTACATGTAGATATTCAAACTGCCATGTTTCTTTGGAATATGTACATGTACAGTATGTGGTACATGTATAGGCACTCATGTTGTGCACTGTTCATGTATTTGTGACGAATGGTGACTGGCTATCCACTGTTTGTAGCATACGACCACCAAAGCCTTCAAAGAGTAATACCTTCAACGTATTGTACCAGCTCTCACTGAATCTGTGTCATTCTTACGGTACACAATAGACCGGTTTTCTAACATATTCAAATTTTATGTATACTTCTAAACAAAGGTTGTTCATGACAACCTGAAAGTTTGCTGATGCTTGCCCGGTATTGCAACACATAATGTATGCAGACTGGATTCCAAGTATTGTAGTTCATTCATTAATGACAGGTTAATGGAATAACTTGTCACTACATGTACATGTAGGTCCAAGGAAAGAAGTATCCATACATTTTAATATGTTAGTAAACCGGTAATCTTGTTGGTACTAATCTCTATCACGATAGTGCATGTTTACAATAAAAATGGTGATGTGTTACCTTTTGCTACAGTATTCAAACACACCCTGATACAGTTTAGGATTTAAAGTGTTTAAATGTCAGCCAACCCTAATGTAAATGGAATGAGGAAGATTTGTGTGAAGTGTTTGCTAAGACGCAAATCACCACCAGTGCAAACGTACATTTGTTTGTAGATGAGTTTATTGTGGCAATAAGCAAAGGGATGTGAATGGATGGAAGATTGCAAGGGGTGGTGTGAAAATTTAGAGTGTTTTTAACCTGTATTTATATTTTACTTGTTCAAAACGGCATACTTGTAAATCAGGAGTGCCTATGATTGTTGCATGTTTCTACATTGATTTTGTATACAGTGTACATATACATGTGTGTTGTTATGCACAATTAAATAGTTTTAAAAATGTTGGATATGCTAGATATTTATAGACAAATATACTCCTAGTGAGCTTGAATGTACAGTACATGCCTTTTTTTATAAAAGAATTTTGTCTCTTTTTCTCTATTTATGATGAGGCACAAAACTATAACCATATAAGCTTCCTGTCTGTACAGATTTCAATGTCAACTTTTCAACTTTTGACAAATAATTTCTTTCTTTAAAAATATCATTTTTGTCTGCTTTTTGTATAAGTTACAAAATCAGAATTAATTTGTTTGTTTGTCAGCAGTAAAAAAATAAAAATAGTTAAGTATTTACAGTTGGACCTTGTTGATGGCTGAATACGGTAATTCCCATAGAATCTTATACAGACCACAAATGATGAGAACTTTTTTTTGTTAAATGTAATTTTCTCATGTCATTTGAATGTGTTTCACAATAGCATAGTACATAATGTACATAAACATAATGAAATATTTTTGCAATCAGCAAATCTTCAGCCCTACTTATTTTCCTTTGTACAGTACTTGTGCATTAATTACCCCCATGTAAGTTTAGTGATTTTTTTCATATAACCTCATATCTTTTTCCCTATGAGGGGTCTACATGTAATAACTGCATGTACATTTTTTACAAATTATAGATTACACTGTTTTCTGTACAAGCAATTACATTTATATTTTCTTTTTTTTTCCCTTTTAATTATTACTACTGCTGCAGTGCTGCTGTTGTTGTTGGTATTTATTATCAAAAATGATATTAGTAGTAGTAGTGGTAGTATTACATGTGAATTCATGTATCATTAATGTGTACAATTCAGAAGTACATAAGTTTACCACTATCATTGTTGCTGTAATTCTTAATTTCTTTTTCTTACAGTGGTTCAGTTTCCCCAACCACCAAGACCTCTCATGTGATAGTCCCAAGTGTACAGCTGGTATGTATGAAATAGTCTCTCTCTTTCTCTCCTCTCTTACTATCCCTCCCTCCACCTCTATATCTTCTCTTTGCCCTCATGTTCTTGCATTATCTCCCCTCTATCTCTCCCCCTTTCTCTCCCCCTTCTTCTCTCCCCTCCCTCTCTCCCCTCCCTCTCTCCCCTCCCTCTCCCTCTCTCCCCTCCCTCTCTCCCATCCCTCTCTCCCCTCCCTCTCCCTCTCTCCCTTCCCTCTCTCCCCTCCCTCTCTCCCCTCCCTCTCTCCCCTCCCTCTCTCCCCTCCCTCTCTCCCCTCCCTCTCTCCCCTCCCTCTCCCTCTCTCCCCTCCCTCTCCCTCTCTCCCCTCCCTCTCCCTCTCTCCCCTCCCTCTCTCCCTCTCTCTCTCCCACTCCCTTCTTCTCCCTGTCCCCTCTCTCTCTCCCCTCTCCATTCCCTCTATTCTCCTGTCTCCCTCTATCTCCCCTCTCTTTCTCACCAGTTTTTTTGTTCCCTTTCAAATCTTAAATCTCTCTTCTTTGTGTAGAGATCTTTTTTTTTTTTTTAATACTTATCTGCCTTTCTTTAGACCCTTCCTCTATCCTCTATATCATTGTTTTTCTCCCCCCCCCCCCTCTCTCTCTCTCTCTCTCTCTCTCTTTCCATACCTCCCCTTCTATATCTTTCATAGCTAGGCTCACCCCCTCTATCTCTTCAGTCTCTCTTTCTCTCTGTCCCCTCAGACTCCTCCTCTCCTTTCTTACATTTCTATTTCTGCTCAACTTCTACACTCTCATGTAACCAACCATCTTGGGAGTGTGTTCGGTATGCATGATATGTTAACTTTCTTCTCACAAAACACACAGATTCAATTATTGGCACTGGTTCAGTTTCACAGTAGGCTCACAAAGGTCAATATTAAGGTCACCACTCCAGACAGCTTTGGGTTTCAGTCTGACACTTTTGCGTTTTTGCTATGTACAGTGTACAGTCAACATACATTAGACATTCACTTTTTGGAGTACCTGTACATGTAATGATATTTAAGGCAGAAAAAACAATGTAAATGTACATTTTTAATGTGTTCGAAGAGCTTATTTACAAAACAAATTAGAAGAGGTCAAGCCCCACTGTCCTTGTAGCTACTTGCTCCCTCTATATAGAAAACTTCCCCAATCGGTGCCTGTTGGTCCCCCATGATCCTCTTTTTCTTATGTTAGTTGAGAGCTAAGTTAATGAGATAGCCACCTGTCAGTGACCTCCCTGTGTGGTCTAATCCCTTCTGGCCCAGTAGTATTGACGGCAACCAAAAAATTACTTTTTTTTTACGAGGGCTCTTTTCAGATTTTCCCTTAAAAAAATAGCCCCCCTTAATTATTTTGCGGTGGCTATTTTGGAGCTCAGGGGGGCTTTTTTTTTTTAAAGGTTGAATTTTTTTAAACGCGGTTTTACCTAATTAAATTCCAAGCAAAGGCAAATATAGATACAATTGTAGCGTACATATGTCATGTAGAGTATTGCAGACATTCAGATACCCATGATTTATTCACTTTGTGTAAAACGTGTGGCTTTATGATTTACATATACATGTAACTAAAACTTGTCAAAAGGAGTGTTTTGTTTAACTGTTCGTTTTTCATATCCTAAGAAAATAATATCACTGACACGCGGGCTAGGAATTAATTTTTTTATGGGGGCTACTTTTCCCCATTGCCTAAAAAAAACCAAGGGGCTACTTCCTTAAAGCCATATTGTAAGCTGTAACTATAAGTTGTGTTTTTTCTTAGCCATCATACTACTAGCAACCAAATTGGTAGGTAATATGTTATTTAGTCTTTTTTTCTGTCCCAAATTTAATTGTTATCATGGACAATGCAATCCCATTAAAAAAAAATGTAGACCAACTCCCTTTAAAATTGTGTTATTTAGACCATTTATAACCATTAAATGTGAGTAAATATTTTTACTGTTGTCCCACATACCGATGTAGGGTCTATTTGTTATGCCGAAACATGCAAAATCATGGCCTTATTTTTTTTTTATAGACTCTAATTCTAAAGGCCAAGCCAAAGCTAGTTTCATTTCGTAGACAGAAATTGATGTCATCATCACTCATGACAATTGGCCTGGCATCGATCGTATATAAATAATTTAATTTAATTAAACAGTTGTAAGAAAGATTCTGAGGAGTAGGAACATCCTTTAAATATTTATTTACGTTTTTTTATAACAAAATTCAATTTCTGTGTACGAAACTTGCTTTATACCGATTTTACAGGAAAAAATCCAGTATTGATTTTGCACGTTTCGTTATTACAAATATATCAGTATGTGGGACAACAGTAAAAATATACTCGCATTCAATGGTTTTAACTTATAAATAACACAATTTTAGACGGAATAACATTTTTTTAATGGGATTGCATTGTCCATGATAAAAATTAGGGCCAGAAAAAAGACTAAATAAACATATTACGTACCAATTTGGTCGCTAGCAGTTGAGCTCTCGTCACTCGCAAATACTTATTTGCTTCATACAAGGAGCGTGCGGGCGCGCGCTGGAGGTGAGCTAGTACGTTTCTGTGTATTGTGAACGTGTGCGAACTGCGTATGCATTCATGCTGTGCACGAAACTACATCGGGGCCGGTGGCCTGTCCGGCCGCCGGGAGCTTAGGCGCAGGCAGTCGGATACCGCTGTAGATCTAGCTACAGTAGGTACGACCGCCAATCCGCTGCAACTCACAAAACTTTTAAAATGTTGATGGAAGTTTCTAGTTTTGGAGTTGGTAGTTGGAACGGAGATTTCACTCAGACACATCAATAAATTGGTTTATTAATTCATAGGGAATATCAATTCATGGCGGGGGCGATTTTTCAAGATATATTGATTTTTTTTTCGCCCTCGTCTTGATTTTTACCGTGGCGATTTCAGAGGTTTAGGGGGCGAATCGCCCGTCGCCACCGTGTATTTTTTTCGTTGATTGACGGTCTTTAAGGTCACCACTCCAGACAGATTTGTATTTAAGTGTGACATTTTGTACAATCAACATGCATGAGACATTTACTTGAGTACAAGTACATATAAATAGTGATGTTTAAAGGCAGTTAAAGTCCATTTTGAAGACTTGTGCAAACTCTATCGTACATACTGTATATTGTGTGTGAAATTTTACAGTTGCAGATTCTGAAACTTCCTTGTAAGAAATGAAGATATAGCGCTGTGTTCATATTGTCGCAGAGGGAGCTATTCTTAAATCAACAGATATAACAGTCAAATTGATTTAGAATTACCTACAAATATTTTCGAGTCTAGAAAATGAAAAAAAAAAGGAATCAAACATTCAAAATTTATTTATTGAAAGCAGTTCTCTTTTTTTTATTTGGTGGAAGGTTTCTAATAAAAGACCTCTTCAATGGATTCATTGAACTTCATGTGATTAGGTCTCCAAAAGGACAAACCATCGTTAAAACAGGAAAAAAAATATACATGTAGTACAATTTGAATGTGTTCTTATAGCCTTTGGGGGGGGGGCAGAAGAGGAGGGGAAGTGTTGAAGTTTTAATAGTAAGTTACATTTTATGCTTGGAGCAGATAATATTTCCATAAAATCCTTTATTTTAACCAACTCTTGTCTTGCAAAAAGAGCTTGGTAATGTGTTATGCCTAGTTGACACTTTCACGATTTTCGGTTCCCGCATAGTTCACGCACTGAAATTGCATCATGCGTGCCAATGCGTGGACACTTGCGGGAAGGGGCGGGACGATGCGCGGCAATGCGCGGCAATGCGTGAAGAGCGAAAAAATTTTTCAACATGTTGAAAATTTTGCCACGCACTTCCCGCATTGCAGCAGTGCGTGAACTGTGCGCAAACTATGCGCAAACAAGTCGTGCCAATGCGTGCCAGTGCGTGGCGTAAAAACAGTGGGTACCCCACCCCCGGGAATGTGGCACGCACTTCACGACTAGTTCACGACATGGTCCCGCATAATTTGCGCAGTGGTTGCGCATCCTTCGCGCACTTTCACGCAAGGATCGCGCATATCAGTCACGTGATGCGTTTTGTCAAAATATTCTTGTTTGAGCCAGCAGCAAAATCATGGCTTCATCCTCCTCATCAGATAATGATGGGACAGAGAACACAGAGCATGAAGAGAAAACTAAGCGAACAAAAAGAGCACGTACATCTAAAAGGGATGTCCCAGAGTACAAGTGGACCGAAGACGCTGTTCAATTAATAGCCGATTTTGTGAAGGAAAATGCAGCACTATATGATAAGACCCAGAAAGATTACATGAATGTTGCTACGAAGGGAAGGATGTGGGCGAATGGCGGTAAATTATTGGATCCACCTGCCACTGGTAAGTTCTCAATTTTGATGGTTGGTTAGTTAAGTTCCATACCCATGTTTTAAAAATCCTCCTTTTGTTTTTTGTTGTCTGCATTACTAGTTAATAAGAAAGTAATTTACTGGGAAAATAATTGTTGATATTTTCCTTTATAGAAATTAAATGTTTTTATTTTTTATTTTTAGGGTTAAACTTCACCACACAAATAGCCTATTTATTGTTTTCCTTGTTTTTAATGTAGGGGACCAGTGTAAGAAGTTGTACGAAAATAAGCGAACTCGGCTAGGAAAGATATTGAACAAGGAGAAAAAAAGTGGATCTGGGCAAACCAACAGAACGACACGTGATGATGAGATAGTGAACACGTGGGGATTTCTGAAGCAACACATTGTTCGTGGCAAGACAACGGCAAGTGACACGGTAGGTATATAAATGACCAATTCACAATTTTTATATTGAAATATTAGAATAACCTTGAAATAACCTTCAGAACCCTTTTCATAATTTTCATTTTGATGTTTCTTCACCTTACAGTTTGATAGAGAAGGGGAAGTGCACGAACGAGAAGATGATGAAGTTTCTATCATGTCAGTTTCAGAAGATATGGATAATGAGACCTTGATCCCGTTGAAGGATCGGGTCCCAAAGTCGGCACGCTCCGAAGCCTCTGGAACTTCTGGCAGTAGAACTCCAGCTTCTCGATCAAGTACTGTTTTGCAGAATAACCTCGACGATGCTCTCCGTCAGGTAGGCATTATAGAACTTTTTTTATATTTTTTTTTAAACAATTGAATACATTACCTAAGCCGGATCCGCTTTCAATAGTTCCATTTGGAAACTATAGAAATTAATTCACAACAAAAAGTATCTTTGAAAATTAATTCTTCGACAATCGATCTAAATTTGTTGAGTATATGGCAGTAAATGACAGTAATCAGACCCTGACTTTAATTGCCTTACTAAATTACATTTGGTTATATTGTTTATGCCTTTCAGGTTCTTTCAAGAGCGGATAATTTGGGCCAGACAGCTGCTTTGACAGGTCAAAAAAAGATCGTCCATGATTTTGCCTGTCTTCTGGAGGGCCATATGCAGAAAATTCCAGAGCAATCGTGGCACAGTTTCCAAATTGAATGTCTGCAACTCGTTCACAATTTCGAACAGCCAACCAGGCCAACTCAACCATGTCAACAGCAACCCTCGTCATGGCAGTCAAACCAGTGGCCAATCAATAGTCATTGGTCCAATTTCAATCAATGGTCTCCAGCAAGTCCATCCTTCAACAATGTTGGGATGCCAGCCGCGCCTTCAGCTGTGCCTGTACCGATACCAACGTCTTCTCAGCAGTCCACTGCTTCGACCCCACCCTCCCGACGTAGTAATGAGATGGTTTCCTCGGTTCTGGAAGAGCTTGGAGAAGAAAAATAATGTGTTCAACAGCAGCCGGTGATTAAGAAAAGGCAATACTGGTTGCAAAACTAACGTCTTCCATATCGGGACACGCTTTCAGTACTTACCTTAATTCTTACATGGTAAAAAAAAATTAAAGTAAAAAGAAATTGTTATTTGTTGTTGCCTTTGCAAGGAATTTTATTAAAAACCCACTCGGCAAGAAAACCATTTATTTATACATTTGGAACAGAGGTATAATATTTTCTGAAACGTAAACCAGAACTACACACTGAAGAGCAAGGGTAAAATTAAGTCGGAAAATATATTCCAGATTTTTGAATGTTCTGAGTTCCAGGGAGAGCTTCGATGGATATTCTCGATTTAGACATTTTGACATATACTCATGCATGATGCTTTTATCAAGAAACAAAATGAAAGGTTTACTGAGTGGAAGATTAAAGTTAATGCATCTTTTTGGTTCCTACGTTTTTACATTTTGTTCTAGTAGTTGATTAGTTCATGTTACTCACTTGTTACAACTTTAAAGTGTTCAAAATATCATTGAGAAATCTTGGTAATTATAACATGTCTATAAGGTAGTTCAAATTGGAGATTCAGTTGTCAGTCACCATGAAACTAAACGTTATCCTGCAGACTTATTTTCTTTTCTTCATCACACGTTATTTAAATTGCATTTATGTGAGCATATCCAGAATGCCTAAGTTTTCTACTCGGTTATGTTTCTTTTATTAAAAAACACGCAATTCGTGCATTCTGATTGCTTCTGATTACAAGTCTCTTATTACACACAAAAAACAAAACATGTAAAGTTGTTTATATTAAGAGTAACATATTGACAAATCAAAGGCTAATCAAAGACTGCAAAGATAGGTGAATATCAAGGCCTTTAATAAAATGGGTAACTATAAGCACTTGATATTTTTCATTGGATTTCAAAAATGATTGTTAAGTTTCCGCACAATTCGTTCAAGTGCACCTATTCATACGAGATAACACCGTCAACTGTTTGACTATTACATATATACATATGTTAATAGCATCTTCTTAAACGATGTAAAAGCATGATCGTATCAATAAATGATATTCAATTTCCCAGTTTTTCCTATCTCTCACAGATGTTTTGTGTAAAATACGATTGATGAATGGATACAATAATTCATTAATAAAGCGCAAGCTGAACGTCTCCAACGTCAGTCTACCGTCTGATCCGCGTTCAGGAAGCGTTTTTAATTTTCAAAAACGCTGGGCCGACGCAGGCTAAAAACGCAAAGGTGTGACACAGCCTGAACACGTGACTCTTGGTCACGTGTCATGACGTATGTCATGCACTTCCTGTCTGCTATAGCTTATTATAACTTTTTGTTTGTAAGAATCCGTTTTAATCCATGAGTGGTTATTTTTCAAAACATTCAAAAGGTTGAATCAATAAATGTATCTGTACCCGTGTTTATATCGACCCCCAAAAAAACCAAACTGTTCTTCTTGCGTTAAAGGGTTGCAAAGGGGGGATTTAAAAACAATAAGATATAATAAAATACCTGCAGAGAAGTGCATGGCATACTTCATGCCACGTGACCCAGCGTTGCCAGTTAGCATGATAAATAACTTTTGCGTTATATTCATGATAACTTTCTTATTTATTGTCCGATTTACTTCAACGTTTTTGGTTTTGTTTTAATTGTTTTGTTTTTCGTCTGATTTATCTGCTTTTAATCAATACAAGATTTTTTTTTCTGGTGCGGACCCAGTCTTTAAATGTGCGTTCGTGTGTATGTGTGTGTGTGTGTGTGTGTGTGTGCGTGCGTGTGAGGAGTGGGGTTTGTGCAAGCTTACTAGAAATACGAAATTTCTACATATGCCCCGACACCAACTGCATCATGTTTAAGTTCAACAACAAAGCTTACCAAAACCCCTTAATTTCCTGACAACATTAATTGCTGATACACTGTAGAATTTTTGTGTACATAAAGACAAACACATTATAAACACTGATCTCATATCCTAAGTTTAAAATCAGATGTACAACAGACAGTTGATATTGGAACGATGTCGGGCCTTGTTGAAATACATAACCATTCAAGAAATAAAATGTCATTTGTGTCAGTGTCATTTGGCATTTTTTGTGGAATTGAGCTAGTGCTATACTGCATCACAATAATGTCATAGTTAATCTGCTTAGGTTATCATCTTTTCTTGCCAGGAAACTGCTCCAGCGCGGGAGGTGTAATAATGTGATAGATATGCACGTTGGCTCTTAGCTTCCTTGATAGAAGTGTTTCCTGTCGGAGCTCTCAGACCGTGAAACACAGGGTCGTCTCTCCATGCACCAGGTATCATCGCATGCGTAGATGGATCTTCATGGTCTACATCTCCTGATGCCAGTGGGTACCTGGTTAATATCAGATTATGTAGGACGCAGGCACTCATGATGATTAAGTTGGTAGTTTGGGGCTTCTGCGGAAGTGTAGTCAGGAAACATCTGAACCTAAATCAAGTAATACCATAAAACAAGAGCCCATCAATATGAAATATATATATATATTTTACGATCTGTACATATGAATCTTGATTTTAAAATAATCACGCTTCATTTGGAGTAAAAACAAAATATTGTACTTGTTATTTGGAGAAACTAGATATACTGAATACTAAAGAAAAAGATCACTATAATAAATACAAACAAAATGAGAGCATCTGCTTAGTGTATCATTTCAGATTTGTTAGCAATTGCAGTCTCGCATGGTATTTTGTGCGTAAGCTGCAGAAATAGCAACATGTGTTGATAAAATAAACACCATATAAAAATTCTACGTTATGCTGGTTAAAACAAAGTGGGTTATTATGATAACAACTCCTTTCTGGGGGGAAGTTAAATATTTTTATTCAATGTGCTTGAACTTTTAAAGCAATAGGCACTGAGAATGGAAATGAATACAGAAAGAAAGGGAGACCTACCTGTGAGCCAAAATACCAAACGAGTTTTCCACTACTCGCCTAGCTCGGCTTAGTCTATAACTGAAGATGATCTCCTCATGAACTTGGGACCTATGTGAGAAGGGCTTCATTAGCCAGGGCTTCATCGCAAATGCATCGTCAGCCACAAATTGGAAAGGTATGGGCATGTCATCATTGGGCATTGGTTCCGGTGGCGGCACCCCTGCTCTTTCCCCTTCTATGGCATCATACAAGTTGCAGTTTTTCCAAGTTCCACCATCTGAAGAGCCACCCTCTGCTCCAACATCCACATACAGAAACTTATATTCTGCATCTGCTACAGCCATGAGAACAATACTATGGAAACCTTTATAGTTAAAGTACAAGGACCCAGACTTTGGCGGCTTCCTGATTGCCACGTGTTTGCCATCGACGGCACCAAGGCAATTATGATAGTTCCATCTGGAACTGAACTTCTTGGCCACATCCTTCCACCCATCTTCAGTTTTTGGACAACTGAGTACTTCCTTTTTATACACTTCAATGAGTGCATTACATACTTCGGGAATAAATCTCGATATGGTGCTTTTCTCAACTCTAAAGCTATACTGTAATGTAGCATATGAATTTCCTGTTGCCAAGAAACGGAGAGTGACGGCTAGTTTCAGTCCAACTTCTAGTGGTTCTCGCATAAACGTTGTTTTCTTCTCCAGATGAGGCGTTAGCTTTCCAACCATTTCCTCAAACAGATCAGGAGTGATTCTCAAGAAATTCTTATAGCTCTTTTGATCCTCCCTATGCAGCTCTGCCAGTAAATGATCAAAATGTCCGTGGATGTGGCGTCTTGACAGCCAATCTCTCACCCACAATGTCCTCCTTTTTCTTTTTCCTTTTTTCTCCTCTTCTCGTCTTTCTTCAAGATCTCTTTCTTGTTGATAAACTATTAATGCTCCTGCAGCTACATATAAACACCTTCTCTGTTCTAAATTAGCTTCTTCAGAATTCAACATCTTAATGACGATAGTTATGCTGAATTAATGAAAAACACGAGAGCGAATAGACGTCTGCCTTGTTTTTTGTGATAGTTAACACAATGCGCAAACTAGTTGTGAATAGTCGTGAACTATGCGTGAACTATGCGTGAACTATTCGTGAACTATGCGTGAACAATGCGTGAACAATGCGGGAACTATGCATGACAGTGCGTGTCACTGAAGTGGCACGCACTGTCACGCACTGGCACGCATTCAATGCAGGGCAGTGCGGGACCAAAAATCGTGAAAGTGTCAACTAGGCATTACAGTACTAAGTATTTACTATTTTTTTCTTTTGTTATTACAGAAACAAACTCCTAAGTCACCAATGTAAGTAATGTTTGTCATTAAGCTTTATTTTTGGTAGGAATTTATCAAATCAGTTTCAGTAGCACAATATTTATTGATGTATAAGATGCCCAATATAAACAATGTTATATTTTGTATTCATTTCTCATCCGGAGTATAAATCTAATATCTCCTTTTATGTTTACATAATCATATTTTGACAAAGTTGACAATAAGGACAAAATCATTGACAAATGAAATCAGTGATTATATTAATGTTGTTCAAATTTGAGCTTACATTTCTTGTAAAATGCATTTTACTTGTGCCCTATTAATATACATTGAAAATTGTTTGGATTATGGTACATGTGTACATTTTTGTCTTTTCTTGGAGATGCTTTCACTAATAAAGCTACAGCCCTTTGCATTGTGTACTCATGATCTAATATAAGCTCCATCTACGCTCTAATCTGTATTATATTTTTTAGATACATATGCTATAGGGTTAGGATTATAAAAGCAGTTTGGTTTTACGGAAGGGTACCGTCCAGATATAGTGTTGTGTCCATGGTAGAAGTACGGACTCCGGTTTAATAGAGGGAATGGACAATACAACAGTTATCATCAGAGCATACATGTACATGTGTTTTTGAACCAATTTGATGAGATCTTTTGTTGTTGTTTTGAACAGGGTGGCAAAGAATGTGAGTAATGGAGAGAAAACACTCAACGAAGCAGAGAAGAAGGCTGAGGTAAGAACAAGTATGGAGTATGTTCAAGGGCAATCCAACCTTTGTAATAAGTTCATACGTGTATGTATGAAAGCAGAGAATCAGAAACGAGGGAATGGCGAAAGTTTGAAATAAATCAGACTATTAATAAGAGAGTTATGAATGTTTGAAATTGTAGATCTGTACGAGTCTGAAATTGGCAATTTGGTTGGTGGATTGTGACACTTTCATGGATAATTCTCCCATTTGTCAGGTACAGAAATATCTTTTCCCCCTGTTTGTATCTTAAATGCCTTGTACCTTGGGGCACTAAGAATTTTTGAAATATCTTTCTCTGTTTTTTGTCTGATTTCATTCATACTTTTACCAATCTGTGTCTCTGATTTTGTTCTGCTTGTAGATGGGTAGATTTTTGGGACACAGAATGAGAGAAATATGTTGGTATAGTATTTGTATTTAGTATAGCATTTAATGGTTGTGTTATGTGAGACCTTGAATATTCAAGGTCTGGCACTTCCAGGGTTGTAAGATCAGCAATTCAATAAAATATGCAAAAAACACAACAGAACAAATCAAACAAGCAACTGCCCCCCCCCCCCCAAAAAAAAGAAAAAGATATTAATAATAATAAATAAATACAAATAAATAAATAAATAAAATGAAAATTATAACAAATTAAAAAAAGGACAAAAACACAACAACTAAACAAATACATAAAAAGTTGAAATAAATAAAATGAAAATTGTGAAAATAATTAAAAAGATTAAGAGAAATACTGTTTGTCATTGAAATGGATTTGTTGGCAAATATACTTGTCTAACTGGACTTTTTAAAAATTTTGTTATGTGAACAGAATATTGATTTCAACTGTTACATGTATTTCTATCTTGGTATTCATGTATTTGTTATTTCAGGAGTTGCGCCAAAAACGAGAGCAGGAGCGTGTGGAGGCAGAGCAACGAGTGCAGCAGGAGTTCACCATGACAACCGTCTCCATGACTCCAGAACGCAAGGTTTGTACTTTAAACTAGTCACACAGGAAATGATGATATTCATTTATATCGCAGGTATTTAATTGAGATTGAATTGATTTATTGACAGAGACACTATAACACTAAACCACAATACAATATAATGGTTTTTCGGATCAGTGACGACTCATGACTCAGTGACTTGTAATATCCTGTTGAATCGGATAGGTAGTACTTATTTATTCAATCTGTAATAGCAAATCAAAAGGAGAAAAAATTTTGATATAGTATCAATTAAAGGTATTACAAAGTTTTGGTATGGGGTCATGAATTTAGTTCAAATTAACATAGAGGAAGCATATGCATTCCTACAATATTCGTTGATCGTTGTCCCGGTTGAAATCGAGTCTAAAGTTATGAAATTATAAATAATAAACCCTTTATGTTGTATAGCTCCTTCTCAAGGTCAAGATATTAATTTAGCAATGAAACCATGTTTCTTGACTAAAATCGACCGATTAGCTATTCCCGTTTGGAAATTATATATCACAACTACATATTCTGAGATTCTCATGGTGGCAGCTACCATTGTACGGCCGTAGGCGCTATTTGAAATTTATCAAAATTTACCGGGAGCACCGGTAAATTTTTATATTCAATTTTTCTCGAAAACAGAAGTGTTTTAGGGGTTAATTTTTTTTAGTGCTTATAATACATCCACAGGGGCATCCAAATATATCAAAATTGTAAAGATTCACTATCCACCCAATTTTCAAAATTTCCCAAAACTTTGTATTACCTTTAAGTACCAGCCATGAATATACATCGAACAATACTGAGTTTGAAATGGTATCAATTGAGTACAAGCCATGAATATACATCGAACAATGCTGAGTTTGAAATGGTATCAATTGAGTACAAGCAATGAATTTACATCGAACAATTCTGAGTTTGAAATGGTATCAATTAAGTACAAGCCATGAATATACCGGTACATCAAACAATGCTGAATTTGATATGGTATCAATTAAGTACAAGCCATGAATATACATCAAACAATAATGAGCTTGATATGGTATCAATTAAAGGAATTGGGTAACTTTGTCTCAGATTCTTAAACAAAATCCTTGATTTAGCTCATGCTGCAATGATAATTATAAACCTTTAGGTCAGTCGGGAACCATACGACTTTTACAAGCCGATTGCCTGTCTGATTTTCAAGATATTTATGATTAGAAATCAAAATCAAATTTTGTGTTCTAATGGTTTTCATGACACTACATATTGTAGAAAATGAGTATCGTATAACCGGTCACTCAAAGTTTTTACTTTTTTGAGGCACTTCATGAACATTTTGAAGCGCTTTTTTTTTTAGGGCTTTAATATTACACCATATCGCAGACACTGATAACATGTAGGGCCATGCATCTCAGATTTAACATTGTGAAACGATGGTCTTAAGTACAAATCATGAATATACAAAGCACAATGCTGAGTTTAATTTAGTATCATTTAAGTACAAGCCATGAATATAAAATGCACAATGCTGAGTTTGATAATGATATGGTATCAATTAAGTACGAGCCATGAATATGAAATGCACAATGCTAACTAATGCTGAGTTTGATATGGTATCAATTAAGTACAAGCCATGAAATTGAATACACATCGAACAATGCTGAGTTTGAAATGGAATCAATTAAGTACAAGCCATTAATATACAATCCACAATGCTGAGTTTGATATGGTATTAATTAAGCACAAGTCATGAATATACATCAAACAATGCTGAGTTTGATATGGTATTTAAGAAATAAGAACAAAGTTTTAGTAGTAACACAAGACAGAATGTGTTGCAAATGCCACTTGGTGAACATTTGTAGGAATTGATTTAAAACAAAAAAAATCAAATACAAAATATTCAATTAACAATAATAGTATAAAAATATAATCTAAGTAATTTACATAAAATATAACAACTCAAATCCAAAAAACATAAAAATACATATGTAATTGAAAGCTTGAAAGTAATGAGGTAAATCAAAGACTCAAGATGAATGCAATGACCAACTATCATGAGCATTCATGCTTGAGTCGATAGCAGCCAGAGAAGGGGGGGGGGGGCACATGAAGTTGTTATGTACGATAATAGAGTGTTATGGCAAAGATTTATTCCAGAAAGTATCTAAATAAAAAGTGGGAATAAAGGGAAAAGAAAGAAGAAGAAAATTGCAAGTGTGTACATGTGGGTGCGTGCAGATAAATTAAGTGTTCAATTCGTTTTGTTCATGAACTGGTCATTTTAAATTAATTTATATAAACAAGTTCTGCCTCCCCCCCCCCTTGTTAAAAAAAATACATCTGCATGCACATATATACAAACCATATCACTACTTACATTATCTAAATTGTTAAAAGTTGTGATTGTGCCTTCTTGTGTACACACTTGTCAAAACACATAAACATTTTTTTTTTTTGCAACCAGATTATCAAAATTACATCATATTAATCCATTATGATATGATGTCCTTGACAAGATAACAGCATTGTTAGCAATTACAGATGTTAATATACCAGGTATGTATCTACAGTATTCTTTCATTGCAGAACTCTTATTTGGCTCAAATGTGTTTGAACCATCCTGCCAAGTACACAAGTAATACATTCATCGCCCCCCCCCCCCCCAGTTGTTTGAACTCTGGTATTCAAAAGTTCACAATAATCCACACTGTTTTGTTTTGTTCTGTTGACAGGAGGAGATTCGTAGAGCTCGTGAAGAACGTGAGCAACAAGAGAAACAAGAGGCTGAAGAGCGGAAGGCTAGAGCTGAGGTGAGATTTGCCTTTTGAAAAAGCCTTGTGACTCGGCTTATGTTTCATGTCAATCAGTGACTGAGATGAGTCTAGCCGGCGAGGAAGAGAGATCTAGAAACCTGGGGTGAACGCGCGATAGAGTGGTGTTAGCCACGAGGCTATTTGGTTTCTGGCTTTTACTGCTCTTCATGAATTATTCGTAACTTTGGATTTATTAACCAATCAGAACGGCCATCTCCCAGTTGGCTTTGTTCTTGATTTGTTCATTATCAAAACATGTAAAGGTAATGGACGTATTACGTCTAAACTTGTTTAAAACAAGTTTCGCTTATAGAGATGAACATACAAATGATATATACAACATATCACACAAGGCCTTCTCTATATGCCAAGGTGAGATAAATGTCAAAGTGGCATTAATGTCCTTTGGCAAGACATTGCTCTACATATGCCACACTCAACCCAGGTGATGTTAATGGGTACCTGGCAGGAATTAATTCCTTGAAATGCTAGCCTTGGCAGCCTTGCTAAAGCCAGGGTAATAGTCGGGAGCGCCAGGAGTGTCGAGACTGACATACGTGAGCGCTATACAAGAACCCACTATTATTATTGTTATTATTAATGAAAACTTGGCAAATTTACATAACCTTGTATAATACACCGCCCAATAGAGACAATACAGTGTAAATGCACACCTGTCCTGATTTAATCAGAATATTCTGATTTCCTGAATTTATTCTGTATGACCAAATATATATATTTATATAACTTTCTAAGTAAATCCTTGTCATTTGATTATCATGGTAACATGATATTCAATAAATAATTGATTAAACAAGCATCCATTTTTGGTTATATTCGCCATTTATTTTTGTACAATTCAGCGTGCATTTCACCCGTTTTTGGGGTTATATATATTTTGATATATTTTTTGATATATTTTTTGATATATTTTTGATATATATATTAATGTTTTTATAGAACAAATAATGAATGTTTTTCATTCTTTCAACAGTGCAAATATTTTCATAAGTTGAAAGATTAACATTTTATTCCATGAGGCATCATAAGCATTCATTAGGGACTTTAGATTTGCACGCTAACAGCTTTGACTGCAACATGTGACGTCATTTTAAGGCACTGTGCATGCGTCACGTCGTCTCAGTCGGTGATCGAGAATGCGTCAACCTTAATTTTCCTAAATCTAGTACGGTACTAGTATATGCCGCGTGCGCTTAAAATATACAGTTCCTCAGGTAGACATAGGAACATCCCTTCCCTGCTATTATGTAAAAATACGTAGAACAGTTGTTACATGCATATTCACCTGTTCTACACATTTGTACATAATAGCAGTGAAGGGATGTTCTTTTGTCTACCACAGCAATTGTTGAGGGTAGAATGATGAGGAACTGTAAATTTTGTCCTCTTTCTTTGTACGTCATGTTCATAGTGTGTGTTATTCCTGAATGCATGTATATCATCGAGTGCAATAGGCCATTTTCGTAATGTAACCAAATTTAATGCATAAGTCTTTGTGAAGTGCCTCAATACAAATTATTTCATTCACCTGATAAGAATAATAGCGTTTCAATAGTCAGAATGCAAATGCATATATATTAAGTGTTGCTAGGTAGGTCAAGCCATAATGTTTGTCCAACCAGGCAAGAACTACATGTATTATGTATGAAGTTCGGATTCTGTCTATTGAAATACTATTATTCTTAATATCAGGTGAATGAAATAATTTGTATTGAGGCACTTCACAAAGACCTATGCATTAAATTTGGTAACATTACGAAAATTGCCTATTTAAAAGATTTCTAATTGTAGTCAACATGGGCAGTTGAGTATGTTGACACGCATGATCAGTCGGCATTCGTCGTGTTCTCGTCCACTCAATCTAAAAGTCCCTATTGAGGCGTCATAAGCATTCATTATTTTTATGATGTTTATATGTACATGTATCTATTTTTTTTAAATCTAAATTTGGCTTGTTTTACCATCTGCGGCGATTTGAGAGTTCACGTAATAGGATTTATTAAAATCAAAACACATCAAAAGGTTGTTTAACGAACTTTCACAAGAACCCTGTTTACTTATCAGAACATTGTGGTCTCACATTTTTCATCAGTTGGTATATCCTTTCCAACATGCCCATTTCATCTCTTTGTGTCATCATACTTCTTTTTAAGCAGCTTAATTTCCTTATCCTTTCTGATGTACTGTACTATACAAAAAGTAATAAGAACACTCATAAAGCCAACAATTGAACACATGGCGACATTAATAATGTACAGAGTGGTCTTGGAACATACATTTTTGTTGGTAGCCGTGTCCTTTGTTGTTTGTGGACGGGAAGGAAGGATTTCATCCTCCAGTCTGAAGTTTGTTGTTGATTTCGAGTGTTGTGTAGGTGAGACAGTAGTGCTCGGGTCTGTAATGTCTGTTAATGCTATGTCCTGTATGGGATCCCATCCGCAATCCCTGCATTGCTGCACGGTTTTTGTGTGGTCCAAGGCGGATGAACAACAGTGTACAGAAGGATTCGCTATTCTTGCCAGTATGACCTGACTTAATCGTCTACCATTTTCAACAGGGGTTCCTAAAGGGGGTAGCCTCACGCCGTCCTGGTAACATATAATTTGGCCTGCGAGATTTCCTGAAGGAGCAGTGCATTTTAGCTTGATCCATGTCCCATCGAGATGGTTGCTACTTGATTCACAAGAAACCTTACCCGGAGGGTAGCAAACACGTAAATATATTTTAGTGTACTCTGGTAGCAGTTGACTATGGTTATAGACCGAGAGAATATAGTTACCTACATCAATCCTTGAAACAGGGTTGATGATAAGGAGGATAAAGCAAGTAGCATCATCGTCACTTTTTGTATGATTTGCAAGCTCATACCTTGGAGGCAAAGGGTTTGATTCGTCTGAACTATAAAAGGGAGCTCTGTAGCTATGTTGCAATGTGGTCTTTGTGATATCACATGGGTATGAAAAGTTCAGTTTTGCTTCCTCTCCTACTCTGACATGCAGTATTGTACAGACACTTGGTCTGTTGAATGAGAGAAAAATAAGGACAAAGACGTATAGGCTCATTTTACCTCTGGTTTCATGGAAAATGCACATGATTAAAGATACTAAGGAGAGGCAAAGGATTACAAAAAGTAAATGTGCCAACGAAATTGTTCCATAGCAAAACAGAAACAATACACATGAAATGTGAGTAATTTCAGTTTGGAAAGCCCATAAAGAAAGAAAGAAAGAAAGAAAAAACAAACAAATAAATTGTTGAAAGACAATGAAAAGTGAAAATTGCTCAAGAATTCTTGTGTACAAGTACATGTACCCTGCATATCATCAAGAGTGTGAACAACAATGTAATTTTTACTCTATATCTAATAAACAAGTTTATTTTAGGTTGTAGTACATGTACATGTAGAACTCAGGAAATCAATTTTTACAGTTCATCCAAAGCTGTCTTCTGCTGATTTGTCACCTTCTCTGTATGATGATCCTTTGTGATGCTGAATGTATTCAGTGTGATTCATAAAACAAAGTATAAGTATGAAGCTTGGCTCCTGATCCTTCTGTTTTTCGCGACAAGGAAATATTGAGATTTGTCCGTCTGATAATGTGGATTCCAACGTTTATCACTGCTCTCAAACTAGCACATCAGTCTATCATCATAATCTGCTACTTGAGTGAAAAGTCAATTATTATCCAGTTTATTTCTGGAGGTTTATTCATATACCTGTAGCTGCATTTTATATTAACGTTTTCAAGCTTGATTGCTATTGATTTAGCTGTCGGTATCCAGTATAATTTTTCTCAGGAGAAGGAGATAGTTCCAAGTCTTGTGATTTCCAGTGCACACAGACAAATCTTCAGTTCTTTGAGCACATGTTTGAAAGATGAAGGCAGTATGCAAGAGTCTGCAGAAAAAAAAGGGAAATCCTTATTGTCATAATTTTTGCAACTACTGATTTACATGTACACTGTCACTGTACATGTATTTGGTAAAAGGCAAGAAGTATTTTCTTACTTGAAATTTTGTGGGTATTCATGTTAAGTATAGCCTTCATAATCTTTCACATACACAATGTGTATTTGGTGATTCAAACCAATCTCTCAGAGGTTCACAATCTGTTAATTTATTTAAAAAAACAATATACTTTTTTTAAATTTAAAAACAAACAAACACATGTACAGTGTATTCATGTACTTGTACCTGACATTTTAATGCATTACTAAATACAACTTTGTAAATGAAAATCTGTTCAGAGTCAGAAGGGTGTTAATGTTATTAAGACAGAACTAACATCTTTCTAGGCTGCCTCTTAATAGCAGATCTCTCTTCGCCACGAGCTGCCCCTTTTACCCATGAGCTCGCCACGAGCATATCAAGTTCCTAAAACCTTTTTCAAGGTCATGGGGTCATCGTGACGTCATCCAGGCGCCATTTTGTAAACATCAGGTCGTTATCATATCTCGATAACGAGTTATCAAAAATCAACCATATTTAATATACATCAACTTCAGGTCAAAGGTCAACAAAAAATGTAATTAAATATCCGCGCGCGCACCTCGACGCGCACGTACGTGCGCATCAAAATTTTTAAATGCTCCAATTCGTCCCCAATTAATTTTGCATACGTTTCAGGCCATTTTAAGCTTTTTGCAAAAAAACGCGCACACACGCATGCGTGCGCGTTTTTGCACGTACTTGCATTTCGCAACGTCGAATCGCCAAATTTTCTCTGTTTTTTTCAAGCATTTTGATACCTTGTTCACCTTTTTCTGACCATTAATAACGGAATGAGCGTCCGTTAAGATACGCATCCGTGCGTGCGAGCTCTTGTGATACATAACATACATGTGCAAAAACATGCCTATACAAAATTCATTGTAACTCTTCTGAATGGATGGATACCCCCCATTTTTTTCATATTTGGATAGATTATGAGTCGGAGATATGATTTCTAGTCTCATTTGACCCTCAATTAACTCATGACGTCATCATAATGGCCTCCGAGCACAAAATTTCAATTTGCATATTATGACGTCAGCAGATTTTTGGAAAATTGATTGTATCTCTGTAAAAATGGATCAATTTTCTTCAAAATTTTGATATGTTCTAGCTGGGACAATTCTCTACAAATCCGGTCCCCACGATTTTTCATTTTGACAAAGGCATCATGGCGTATTTGGGCGATTAAAGGAGGCATGTCAATTTTTCACATTTTGCGTGTATTCTCTAAGGGACATGACTTTTTCTCAAAACTGGATTCTACATTCCCGTCTTTCGCGAGCTATATCTCCGTCGTTTTATCTTTGTTTACGCTGAGCTTTGAGTATGTTGTAGCTGAGACAATATGCTATCATAAGCGTGCCCTTTATTTTTCGATCAGATGCCGCGATCATGCTCATATTTCACTTACAAAGTGGGATTTGAGAATTCCATTTTCCGTTTACGTGTAATCTCTATGGGAAATGTTTTGGTATATCGGTAAATCACTTGACTTCTGACCTCGAGGTCCCTGGTTCGAGTCCAGGCGTCTCCAACAATTTTTTTTCTTCACTTTTTTTTTCTTTTTGACCTTTCACTGTACCATCTTCTTTGAATATTAAAACATGTACAATCGCAAATAATGTAATAAACAACCATATTTACTTTATTATTACCCTATTATCACTTGATCCATTACTTTTTGTGTGTAATCCTTATGGGAGATGACTTTTTCTCAAATCTGGATTCTACATTCTTGTCTTTTGCGAGCAATATCGCCGTTATTTCGGCTTGATTTTTGTTGATTTTGAGTAAGTTGTAGCTGAGACTCTATGCTATCTAAATCTTCTCTCATTTTTTTCAGTCTGATGTCATCATTGTCTGTTGAAAATTGATGATAAAATGGCTGCTACAGGGATTAAGATTCCTCTACCGATTTGGAGATTTCAAGACAGGGGCCAAAAAAACTTGAACTTCAGATCTAGCATTCACCTCACTACTTTAGCAGTATTTTCCTCTCATCTGAACAATGTTTTAAAGCCCCTTTAAAGGTACGGTAATACAAAGTTTTGGTATGGGGTCATGAATTTAGTTCAAATAAACATATTGGAAGCATATGTGATGTTATAATATTCGGTTGAAATCGAGTCTAAAGTGGTTTCAAGGAAAATGCACATGATTTAAGATATTAAAGATTAAAAGACTTGGAAAAGAATAGAAGAATTATGTAAACAAATTAAAACAAAAAGTACAAGTGATACAACAAACTTTTGTTCGGAAAGCTCTGCAAAGAAACCAAAATGTTAAAGAGCTTTAACACACACACAACAACAACAACAACAAAAATACCAACAAATATCCTTACATAGAAGAAAATGTACAAAGAGCTTTACATAAAACAGGAGAAAATTTGAAAATTGGGAAAGAGTAGGTACTTTGACAAATTTACATCCACGTATACAAGTATGCTGTTGTATGTAAATAAAGATAATATTTATTTTTTAGACGGCCTTTTAAAGTCAGTGTTTGAACAGAGTAGGTTGGCTGGGCCAAGACTGGGCCAAATTTCTTATCATTTTGATGATTCTAGAACCTTGCAGTACACACCAATACTTATATGCTAGATGATCAACTTTTTCTGATCGATTCCACAACGTTTCTTTCACAATGCAATCGCATGACCAGAACTGGTCTTTACATTTAAAACATGACTCGCCCTGGCTGGCTGTACACATACGTGTCTCACCAATTCAAAGACCTGCACATAGATTTACATGTACTGCATGTCCATCTGCCTTAATATAAAGAAGAATTCTGCATCTGCTGCCCTTTACTATCCGTATTGGGGATTTAAAACACAAATATCAAGAAAAATCTTCTGAAAAGTAAACTTTCCCTATCAAAAACTTGGTATAACCTTTGTATGGTTTAGGTTACTACAGAACTAGAAAAAGTAATGAAAATGAACAAAACGAGCTTACCACAGTCGATCAGCGCAGAGTCGCGATGTTAGAGGATGACGTCTGTGTGCATGCTTGAAAGCATTAGCATACAGTACGATGGTTAAAAAGAGAGAGGGAAAGGGAAACCCCATCCCTCATTCCTATCCCCTGGCTAGGAATGATTAATAGTGACTCACACCTTTAATACATTAAAATGCCTACATTTGGTACTTTAAAGGCATCGTTTAACAATGTTAAATCTGAGATGCACGGCCCTATGTGCTATCAGTGTCTGTGATAGGGTGTAATATTGAAGCCCTTAAAAAAATTGCGCTTCAAAATTATCATGAAGTGCCTCAAAAAAGTAAAAAATCTTTGACCGGTTTTACCATACTCACTTTCCCCAATAGACTGTAGTGTTATGAAAACCGTTGGAAAACGCAAAATGAAATTTCGATTTCCAATCATAAATATCTCGATATTCAGACAGGCGATCTGCTTGTAAAAGTCATGGGATTCCTGAATGACCTTAAGGTTTATAATTATGATTGCAGCATGAGCTAAATCAACGACTTTGTTTAAGGATCTGAAACAAAATTACTGCTTCCCTTTAAAAGGGGACCTATAGCTTCACAAGCTCTGCTTCTTTTATAGGTTCCTCCACTTTTTCTCAAATTATGATGTACAGTAAAAATTAGAGAATGATGATATTTTCTACAGTTCTTTTATAATGATGCAATGTACATGTATATGTTCACTAAAGAATTATGTACATATGTACATCATTTAATAATTGCAACATTTTTATTGTACCAGTTTTGATAATACACCGCTTTGTTTTGTTTATGTTTTATTATACATGTATATGTATTTGAGAAAGTGGAATAAATTGAACCATTGAACCTTTGCTTAATTTAAAAGAAATATTACATACATGTGTAAGGGTCACACTGCAATATGAAATGAAGGAGGAAAATGCAATTTTCAATTATAAAAGCCTAATGAAATAGGAAGCTGTATATTTTTTGAATCTTTCTTTTAAATGCTTTAATTGAGACAGCTAATCTCTATTAAAGGATACTCCCAATCTATAACCAGCATTTTATGTTCTTATGCAGTGGCTTCAGAAAGTCTCCCAGACTCCTCTTAATCAGTTGACTACTGAATTCTCTAATTCCCATAGGCTTAAAGGAAATCCCACCCCAAGAAATAACTTTACTTATTCTGAGAGATTTATTATATTCTTGCCCCTTAATCTACAAGATTCCCCACTGAAGTGTATTAAAGAGGCATAAAACAAGAATAATGCAATTTTCTTGATAACATGACGTACTATGTGAAGTTGTTCATCAACTAAATATATTCAAATTTATGGATTCTTCCCAGGTGTGTGTTGTGTTGAAGCATTTCATTCACCTGCTATTATCCTTTGTACTATAATTGCCAGAACACAAATTGCATAAATAAATTGGTGCTCTTCTGGCGTGAAGGTTTCCCATAAATGAGATAGATTTGTCAAATTCTTTATTTTTTTGTTTTAATGAACTAGTTACAATTGTTCCCCTGCTATATACTTTCTTCTCCGCTATGATTTTCCTCCTTGAAAAGTAAAGGTTTTGCTATTGATTTAAAAAGTCTTTCCGACTTAAGCTTGGTGCATGATACATGAACAACTTCACCTGGTACGTCACGTTTTCTAGCAAAATGCTGCCCCTTGTCATGATAAAAGGCATCACATCATGCCAAGAAATCTTCATTTATATATATCTCTGGTACATTTTTGCTTGTACATCAAATAGCAGGAATACATCTCATTTCTCAGAATACCTACACTTATTCTTTGGGGTTCAGGTTTCTTATATAACAGGGACCACCCGGTTCCTGAGGGCAATGGGTTAAGAATATCATATATCTTTTTGTCTCCAGAACTTTCATTGAACGTGATCATTGTAATATGAATAACAAGAATGTGCAGAGTGCATAATTTGTTTTCTTTATATATTGATTGGCTTTAATTATTTTTTGTGTGTCTTTTCTTCAATTTGGACAGGGCTTTTAAGTGGCATGTTGATGCAAAGGAGAGTGGAAGGATATATTCTCTTATATTTGAAAGGGTAATGCCAGCTGCATAATCAGAGAATGGATTTTAATGATTTACCCAATGGGCGATTTGATATTGACTTCACTAGTTTTTGTTTCTGTTCAATGCTTCTTTTTAGGAGGAAACTCGTAAGATGAGAGAAGAGATCCAGCTTCGTCGTCAGGAAGCCGAGGCTAAACGCAAGAAGGCAGAAGAAGAGAATCAGACGGTGTATTCTATTCCAAAGTACAACATAGCTGTAAGTACATTTAAATACACGAAGGAGATATCGTGGTCCAGAAGGGAGTTAAATCTATCTTAACCAAGTTGTAGATTCCGACCCAAAGTACACTTTATGGTTACAGGGAGTATGGAGATTAATTGATATTGTTTTCTTCATATTTTTGAAAGTATAATAATCATATTAATGGTAATGTTGGCGATGATGATAATGATGGAGACGGTGATGACGGCAATGGCGGCAATGGCGATAATGATAACAATGATGTTGATGTTGATGACAGTGATGTTGATGATGACAGTGATGTTAATGATCATGGCGATGATGATGATGATGTTAATGATGGGGATGATGACGATGGCATTGATAGTGATGACGATGATGATGATATGGTGGTGATGATGTTAATGGTCTTGTTGATGATGATGATGATGATGATGATGATGACAAAGTCTTATTTTCCCAGGGTAGCCTGGCAAGAAGATTTGGCGACAAAGACTCAAATATATTCTTGAAACAATAATTCTGTTTCAGATGTCTTGCATCTTATGCTATTTTATTCCATTCTTCCTCATATCCAGGAAAACATCGCTAGAGCTAAGCAAGAGAAGATGCAGACTTCCGCCGAGATGATGGCTGAGAGGGAGAAGAGGGTGGAGGAGAACATTCCTCAGATACGCATCAGCGCCCACGACTCTGAAGAGCGCCTCCGTGAGATCGCCGAGATCCTCCACACCAAGCTGGTGGAGGTGTACAGTGATATGTATGACCTTGAGCAGAGGAAGGAGAGGCAGGAGTACGATGTAAGTACATAGTGATGATTATATGTTTGTTTGTTTTGCCTGACTGCTCAGAAAGTATTTTCTGGTATTAAAGCAACCAGGGGCCCAGCGGCTTTAAGTCCTCCCCAAGGGACTTGGTCATGAGGATTAATGCCTTACCAAATAGCACTATCGCTTAGACTTGGTTTTGGTCCCAGTACCTCCCCTGTTACAAGACCTCTGCTCTACCATGGAGTCATCGTGCATGATCAGTTTTTATTTAGAACATATCAGATTTTACAATGCCTCTTCGCACTTCAGAAGTATCCTTGTTTTAGTGAAGATGTCAGCCATTACTGTTTTAAAAGTGCATTCTCGTCAACATGTTGATCAAAACTATACAAAAAAATCTCCAAAAAAAATAAAATTAAAAGATCAAAGGAAAAGTAAAGTAAATTCTCTCGTATCAAATTTCTTACTTCTTTGATATCTTAAGTTATACACTGTATGACAATCTTTACATCCATTTCAATTCTCTGGAGTTCATTAAATGTTATCCTTAGTTTTACATGTATAGTGTTATGAATGAGAGGTGTACCCATGCTAAGTGATTGTTTTTACTACTTTGATATATCTTACAGCTTAATGAGATGAATGCTCGCATCAAAGATCTTGCCAAACACAAGTAAGTATTCTGTAGTATATGATAAAGACTGATATTTAAAAGGAGGAAGAGAATAATAACATCCATGTTTGTAGGCAAAGGGGGATAGAGAGAAGAGAGAAGAAAATGTATCAGACAGTTGAGAACTAAACGATTCATTCCCTTTAATACCAATTTTTGTAAGAGAGAGATAGAGAGTGAGTGAGTGAGTGGGAGGGTAAGAGAGTGAGTGTGTACGTGCGTGCATGCATGAGTGAGTAAGTGAGTGAGTGAGCGAGAGAGTGAGTGGGTGGGCGGGTGGGTGAGTGAGTTAGTGAGAGAGTGAGTGAGTGGGTGGGTGGGTGATTGAGTAAGTGAGTGAGTGGGTGGGTGGGTGAGTTAGTGAGATAGTGAGTGAGTGGGCGGGTGGGTGGGTGAGAGAGTGAGTGAGTGAGTGAGTGGGTGGGTGGGTGGGTGAGAGAGTGAGTGAGTGGGTGGGTGGGTGATTGAGTGATTGAGTGAGTGGGTGGGTGGGTGAGTTAATGAGATAGTGAGAGAGTGAGTGAGTGAGTGTGTGATTGGGTAGGTGGGTGGGTGGTAGAGAGAGAGTGAGTGAGTGTGAGAGAGTGAGTGGGTGAGTGAGTGAGTGGGAGAGGGGAAGAAAGAGAGCTATGGAGGGGATAGGGGTCACAGATTATTCCCCCCCCCCCCCCCAAATACAGGAAGCCACACAAGTACATGTCCTTATATTTCGCTTCTCTAGCTACAAGGCGTGATACATGTATTTCTGTATATCCTTGGGATTTTAAGTTATTTATATCTGCCATGAACATAATCTTTACCATCCCATAATTATGTGAACCCACTTATTTCTCACCACACAGGACTGTTAAGGTTACCCCTGTCGATCAAGGGTAAGTGTCTCTGTTTCCTTCTCAATTGTCACTTTGAATTCCGAACCTATTTCAGAACAATCTTAGTGTGTTTATTTAGTGGTAGGAAGCAATAATGACAGAGGTCTTTTTCTGAGCATTCATTTTGGGGTTTATTTGGAATTAGAAGTTTAGAAAATCAAAACCTTAATTTTACTTTTTTTTAGATGGGTATCATTTGGCATGTGCAAGTGAAGCAACAGAAAAATAAGAAGGAGAAAAAAGAACCAACAACAACAGCAGCAAATGATAAAGAAAACAGTTTGAAGTACGAAAATGCTTAATGTATTATTTTAAAAACATTTAAGGAATTACTTTTACATAATTATATATGTCCTTGCATGGTATTATGGAAGGGAAAACTCATTCTCTTTTGCTCCATTACATATGATTTGGTTTCGTAGTACTGCTTGTGGAATGAGGGTTCTAACATTTGATTGTTTATTGTCTATGCACAGCCAGAAGGGCTTTAACTTTGTGTGAGAGTGTGTCAGTAAACGTTCTTCTGGCTCCAAACTGGCTCCATTACTACATAATTCATTGATCAAGTTCTGCTTGCCCCTTATATTAATCAGTTTCTAATATAGTTCATGAATGATATTGTGTCATGTGAATGATCTGTTGTTTTCATTAATGCATCTCACTTTATAATGTAGTTACTATACACAATATCAGAAATCAAGGCATTGTGCATTGTGAAAACATAACCAGCTGGCCCTGTGCAGCCGAGGTGTGCACATCGCACAAAGGACTCTTTATCTTGTGATTTCTAACGTACCAAGATTATTATTCGAACTTAACTCTAAGTTGGACTTAACTATTATGGAGAGCAATTTGTAGCCTTAAAATAAAATATATTCAAATAAAAAATTCAAGTATTTTAGACTTTTCATAAATTACACACATCAAGAACATGAAATCTCCTTGATAATAGAAAATATGAATGATTTGAATTAATATTTTATGCCTTTTAAAATAACTTCTAGAAACATATTTACAAAGATGCTAACAGCTTTCCATAACGTTTAAGTCCAACTTATAGATAAGTTGAACATAAGGATCTTTGTGAAACATCCCCCAGACTATGGATTTCTCACGTACATATAGAACATGAAATTATATTTAGATTGTTGATAGCTTGTAAATGAATGAAACTACCTATTTCCTGACATGATTTAATTCAGGGTGTTATTTAATTTGGCATGACTTGGTTGGTTCCATGATTTAATATGATTTGATATTATGTTTATGTTTGTTATGATTTGATTTGATTTTACTTGATTTCATGATGTGCTATGATTTGACTTGATTTCATGATTTGCTATGATTTGCCTTGGATTGTTCATCTAACCACTAACTATAGGCATGTCAGCATGCTGAAGGAAAAGGGATTCACGTTTGATGACAAGGTACTGCTATGTTCTCTCAAAATAGAGTAGACTGGTTTAGATTTTTCTTTTATGGTAATCCAACCTTATTACCAAGTTACTCTGAATTCTTCTTTTATTTGCCATCAAGTTTTGATAGAGGTTAGACAAATGAATTTAAGCAAATAAAATTTTATTTTTGGTTAGGAGACGAAATTTCATTTTTTTTAATTTTTTTTTTTATACACAAGAATAATATTGGTAAGATTTCAATACATCTCAATTTTTTTTGATTATCTGTTTAATTTGTTTTTATTATTCTACATTTTTTATGTTCACCTAAAGGTATTAATTCGCAAATAAAAAGAAAGTAAAAAAAACGGGGCATGATTGATCAGAAGTAAAAACTATTTAATTTGTAATATTTCATAAAGAAATCTTCCATAGATATCAAGATATTACTACCAGAACTGTTTTAAATACTGGTTTATTGGAATAAATGAATTCCTATTATTATCAAACGTCCCTCTGAAAGAAATATTCTATGTGTTATATATCAGGAGGAAATTTTCCCCAAACGTTTTACTGCTCTTAATTTTTAAAATGTATATCTTACTTAGATATGAATGAACCCCAATTATTCTAAAAGTATGTTGTGAAATTTGAAACTATTTTTCACTTTGTAAAATTTGCGATGATACAATAAATATTTCGTTTAAAGAGTATTTTGATTATGTATCTTAAAAGATTTGATGGATAGATATGAAAACACCCCAAATATTTTGATGGAAAATATATTTTCTTGGTTTTAAGTAAGATTTTACTTCTCCTTTATTCATGTATGTAAATGTCGACTCACTTTTCAGAACAAAATTTGCCAATACCAGTTTTTGATTTGTACCTTAAAAGAAATCTGTCACCAACGAAAATAAAACAAAATGTGCTTCCTCTATTTTGTTCCTTTGCTGTTTAGATTGATGAAATGATATGTTAATGTTAGAATAAGTTTTCTATTTTTTGTTATAGATACATGTTCAAGAAGAGGTGTGTTTTGGGTTTTCACATTCACTGCTCATACTTGATAAGTCTCTCTCTACTCAATGTGTATTGATCACCAAAGTCTTTATTTTTATTACACTCATAAGTTTGTTTCAGCCATTTATTGACATTCCTTCATAAACTGTGACATTGCTATTTTGTATAATAGGCTGCCAAACAGAAGCAGAATGTAGATCTCAAGGCAAGCCTGCCCTCTACTGGTCACATTGCAGACAGGCTTCAAAAGCTTCAGAACAACCTCAAGAAGGATGCGGTAAGGCAATGATCACACACACAGAGGAAAGACTTTAGAGTAACGTTTTATAACACGATTTTATATTGAGCTGGGATAAGGAATGAAGGAAGTCCTGTTTACACTCAGAGCTAATATATTGAAGTATCGTTTTATATTTATATATCTCCTTGCACTGTGGTAAGGAAATTAAAGAATTCATGTTCACACTCACAGCAAATATATTAGGAGCATTATTTTATTTTATTCTGATTTTTTATTGCTCTTTGGTAAAAGAAATGAAAAATTTCATGTACACTATTGTGATGGAATAAATAAAGTCTAACACATATTGCAAACGTTTGAGGATAACATTCCATAATATTGATTTTATATTCTTCTAAATCAGCATTTATTAAACAAAAAAATTAGGACATTTTATTAGTTTCAAGTTCGCAAATCCATACATTTAATTAACATATATGTGTTTTACTTACCCAATTTCTGTTCAATTTGTGATGAATTCTGTGTTTTTAAATAAATATTTTTCAGGAGACCCCAGACAAGAATCTAAAAAAGGAGCCGATCAAGATAACATACAGCACTCCAGATCAACTGAAAGAGGACCTAGAGGCTAATAAGCGAGATGCTGAGAAATTCAAACAACAGAGGGTTAGTTCTTACCACATTTGAAGGAGGAGCAAGAGGGGTGGGGAGGGGGTGTAGGGAGGGGCGGCCGTGGGGGCTTGTTTGCCCCCTTTGACAGATTTCAGAAAAATTCAACCATTTTCGTATACTACAATTTAGCAGGTTACGGGGTTATTTGTAAGTCCTTAAATAAAGAAACACTCACCTACACACTCTCACTCACCCTTTCACTTCTCACCCACTCACTAACTCACTCCCTTTCTCACTCTCACTCACTCACACTCACTCAATCCCTAACTCACTCACCTCTTCACTCACATACCCCCTCACTCACACTCATCAAATAACCCACTCCCTCACTTGCTCACTCTCTTACTCACTCACTGTCTCATCCACTCACTCACTCACTCCCTTTCTCACTCTCACTCACTCACACACACACACACACTCACTCCATCACTCAATCCCTTTTACTCAATCACCTCTTCACTCACATACTCCGTCACTCACACTCATCCATCAACCCACTCACTCATCATCCCACTCACTCAATCTCACTTACACTTGCTCACTCCCTCACTCACTCTCTTACTCACTCACTCACTGTCTCATCCACTCACTCACTCCCTTTCTCACTCTCACTCACACACACACACTCACTCAATCCCTTTTACTCAATCACCTCTTCACTCACATACTCCGTCACTCACACTCATCCATCAACCCACTCACTCATCATCCCACTCACTCAATCTCACTTACACTTGCTCACTCCCTCACTCACTCTCTTACTCACTGTCTCATCCACTCACTCACTCACTCCCTTTCTCACTCTCACTCACTCACACACACACACACACACACACTCACTCCATCACTCAATCCCTTTTACTCAATCACCTCTTCACTCACATACTCCATCACTCTCACTCAATCCACTAACCCACTCACTCATCATCCCACTCACTCAATCTCACTTACACTTGCTCACTCCCTCACTCTCTTACTCACTCACTGTCTCATCCACTCACTCACCCACTCTCACCCACATTTACTTACTCCCTCACTCCCTCACTCACTCTCTCACTCACTCAATCAGTCACTCAATCACTCACTCTCACACTCACTCCCTCAATTAAACACACACTCTTTTCTGCATGGTTCATCATGTTGCATGGTATGATAACGTGAGATTAAACAAAAAATTCTAGCAGTAGACTTTTAAACGGCAGATACTTTGGTGGGATAGTGTGCACTTAATTTTCAACAGAGTTTGTTTTATCTATCTCATTGTATAAAGAAGTGATGTCCAGGTGGTCCTCAAACCAAAAATTGGAACTGGGAAAAAGTATGAAGTGATATATGGGAAGCATGATATATCTTGTGGCTGGAGTTCTTGGCTTGTTACTCTGGAGCAATCTGTTCCATATTTTGAAGCGTTTTTAACCAAATTGTATGACTAAATATTGAGGGTTCAGTGACACAAAGACGTAACTCCATATTTTGCCAAAATGTTCAGCAAAATGTGGGATTTCCAGGAAACACAAACTTAAGACTTAACTCCACCCAACACCCCATTGAAGTCAATGGCTAGTGAAACATAGACTTAACTCCTTAAGGCCCGAGTGCTCAGTGACACATAAACCACTTCTTTTAAAATTGCCAAAATGGAATTACGTCTTTGTGTCACAAACCCCTCAATATAATATCATAATTAATTTTTGTTTAGAATTAATATTAACCTGTAGCTGATTTTCAAACCTATCGCTGTAGACGTTTAAACCCCTGTGGACCCCTCACTCACTCCCCACTCTCTCACTCTCTCTGTCACTCTCACTCCCATCAACCCACTCACTCAATCTCACTTACTCCTTCCCTCAATCCCTTACTCACTTCCTCACCCACTCACTCTGTCGCTGTACATGTTTAAACCCCTGGGGACCACTGTTGACCCTTCTTTATCTCCTTTCAGGAGGAGAATCGTAAGAAGAGGGAGGTGGAGATGAGTAAGATGGAGCAACTCCAGGAAGAGAGACAAAAGAAAGCTGAAGAGGAGCGTAAGAAGCAGACGGAGGAAAGAGAACGGCTCAAGAGAGAGAAGGAGGAGAAGGAGAAGACTAGAAGGAACATGATTAACCCGTCTGGAGCCCCTATCAACATCTCTGTGAGTCCCCCTCACCCTCATATTTTTTAAAGTCATATGTCATAACTTTTTGAACATTTTTGTGTGTGTTGTGGTCTAGTGGATAATTCGCTGGACTGTGAATCACATGGTCCGCAGTTCAACTCCTGCCCGTGTTCTAATGACCTTTGGCAAGATATTAATCTACAATTTACAACCCAAGAGTTGCGATTGATCCAAATCAATCGCAAGTTTGCAATTGATATCAATCGCAACTTGTTATCAACTGTTTGTAAGACATGGCCCTGGTGTTGTAAATGGGTACCCGGTAGGAGTGAAATTTCTTGAATGATTGAGCGCCTTATCATGGTAGCTCGGCTAAAGCCAGGGTAATAAGATGATAATATGCAGGGGCCTCAAGGAGTATGTTAAAATACTGATGAGGCTACCCTGGGTAACAACACAATATTATTATTATAAATTAAACTAAATTATAAATTAAGTGCCAATTATTTTTTTTTACTGAAAATTTTAATTTCCTTTTCAAATCGGGACTAACATGTATAGTACATGATTAAACTTCTCACGTTTCTGTTTTAGGAACACAAGCGCTGCAATTCTTAGTCCGAACAAGTTCTTTAGACCTCAAACGTTGTATAGGGTTGTCACTTGTGCAATATTATTGTTTACAATGTTGCCATTACACAGTTCTGCAAAGGCTTACTATGTGCCGACGCAGACCTACATCGTGCAAATAATTAGTTTAGAATTTTAAAAAGTTTGTTAGAAAATTGCATTTTTATTTACCAGTACAGTAGAAGTTTAAGGAAAAAGTTTGTTTTTTTCTCTAATCTTGAAATCGTGGTTTTGCCTTACAGAAAGTTGTATCACAGCAGAAGGCTAAGAATCGGGAACAAACCCTCGCTGACCGGGTCCCAACGATGACCATCACGAGCACAACCACGGAAGCCGAGCTGCGTAACTTTGCCAACGACCTCTACAACAAGCTCAAGACTACCTTAGGTGATGTTTTTGATCTCGATGAACAGAAGAAGAAGAATGAGTACTATGTAAGTAGTAATTATGTCAAAACTTTAAAGGCATCGTTTAACAATTTCATAACCCCTGTAGAGGTGTCGTGAACGATTGGATATGTTACCGGACTGTGGATCACAAGGTCTGAGGTTCAAGTCGCACCGCGGCACTAATGTCCTTTGGCAAGACATTGATCTACATTTGCCACTCTCCACCAAGGTGTTAAATGGGTACCCGGTCGGATGCGAAAGCAAATGTACTTAGATTAGCCAGTGTGCGCTTGTGACGCCTTGCTGGAATGCTCCACAGGGAGTGGAGAATGTGCATACACTGTGTGCTGGTAAGCCTGAATCTGATTACCGGGGTAATAATATATATATCTGTAAAGCGCTTTGAGAGGGCCTTCGATCCTGAAAAGCGCTATATAAGAACTAGCTATTATTATTATAACCTTAATTATAATGATAGTAATATGTGTATGTCTTGTTTACACAGGGTAGCATCATCAATATTTATTAATACTGTTCTCCCTGAGGGCTCTGCAATCATATTATTACCCTCGCTGTAGCCTAACTACCATGATAAGTCACTCATGCATTCAGGGAATTTGAAGCTTACTACGGGGTGCCTATTTACCTCACCTGGGTGGAGAGTGGCTAATGTAGATTAATGACTAAAATCTAAAGGCTTTTTCATATGGGATGTGATAAAGTGCCTCACAACAAAAACCATTTTACGTGCAAATGCATGGCAAGTGGGGTATAAATTAAATCATATCATAAATTAAGTCTTAAAGGAAAAGAGAGAAATCCTCTAAAAAGCTAAGCTTTTATTTATGTTGATTACTCCAAAAAGATTATAAAAAAGAGAAAGAGAGTATTTTAAAATAATTTTTACTGCATCTTGCCTGATATAGGACCTGTCAGTTATAAAATTAAAGTCCTATTTTAGTGACTCACAACCGTTGTTACTGGTTGAACACTGGAATGGTGACGAATGAGAATCCATGACTATGGGTCTTTGAGAGCTGTCTTCTCTTTCTCCTCATATCCTTTCCAGATTTTCACAGATCTGTTCCTCTCATTTCTATGTTTTGGGAGTCCTCTTCCAATGTTTTTTTTTTTACCTCTCTATTACTTATTTATGTTTTTATTTCAACAGCTAAATGAACTAGATGAACGGGTTGGAGTCTTGAAGAGTACCAAGTAAGTTACCATGATATCTCATATTTTCTACTTTGTACTCCGAGAAGCACATAGTGAATATTGTATAAATCAGGGCCCGCCTCATAAACAGTTGCTATTAATCACAACTTATTTGTCGTTAATGGTATCCTGTATCCTTGAATGTGTGTACATGTATATATTGTTTATGTTGCTTGTGTATGTATGTCACTCGCCAGTGGTGGACGAATTTCTGTATTTATTAAATCAGAAAATAACTTGTCTTGAATGAATCTTGAATTAATATCAATCGCAACTATGGACATAAGAGATAGGGTACTGGAAACTTGCGATTGATTTATAGAGGACTTGCGATTCATTCGGATAAATCACAAGTATTTATAAGACGGGGGCCCTGAACGTTTGTTTGGATACTGGTGGATTTTTCCCCAAATAGAATAATATGTGATCTAGAACATTTGTAATGATTTTTATCCACAATATCCTCAAGCAATTTTTGTGTAGATGTAGCTTTTTAACGTGAACACAAAATTGAATAACAAAAAATGTGTTTCTCTTGTACATTTTATTAAAATAATTATTAGATAATTTGTTTTTCTTTTGTTACAGGTCTTCACCAGCGGTGAGCTCTGGGATGTAAGTATTATTGAAACCATAACAAAGAATTCTATAATGTTTGACTATTGCTTATATATATGAAGTATTAGAATTGTTCTTAATTTTGTCAAGAAGGAAAGAACAACTGAGCACATCTTTACGCATTAACTGACAAGCTGAGATTAGAGAATAAAGAAGTGATGAAACGTTTAACAATTTAATTGAGGAAAGGGATGTTCTCAAGTTAGATGAGGGAAGGTGTTAAACCTGTACATCTAGATTTTTGTGTTAATATGACACCTTGATATCCATAACACCTTTAATATATATATATATTTTTTTTGGGGGGTAGGGTCATTTTTGGGCCGTTAAAATGCTGAATAGCGATCTCAATCTATCTCCGTTTTCTTGTCATTTTTCCTTTAGTGTGAGCAAGATGAAAGATGGAGGCTCTTGGACACCAAAGAAACAGGTAGATTATAGATTATTATCTCTTTTGATTATAAACCTGAAGTATATATCGAGGGTTCAGTGACACAAAGACGTAACTCCATATTTTGCCAAAATGAGTATTTGATATCAAAATGTTCAGAAAAATGTGGGCTTTCCAGGAAACCCAAAGACTTAGCTCCACCCAACACCCCATTGAAGTCAATGGCTAGTGAAACATAGATTAAACTCAAGGCCGAGTGTTTGGTGACACATAAGAACTCTCTGTAATCTTTCTTTCTTGAGTGTGTGTAGTCCTTAAAAGGACTGTTGGTAGTCTGAATAAAGACTGTTGATTATCTTTCTGAGCTTATAGTTCTAAGGAGGATTTAGCGCCAGTTGGAGAGGATGGGTGGTAGAAGTGGCTCGATGTTTCGAACAGGTTCACACCAGCTATTCTCCACTCCAGACGAAGGATCTTGTTATCGTAGCAGAATCAGAAACCCATCGCAAACTTCTGTAAACTTCTTTGTTTCAAGACAATAATATTGGCATTTCTTTCTTTTTTCTTCAGAATGACGTGGGCAAATCTTTCAAGCCTAAGGAGCGAGGTGGCATAGCCTCGGAGGGTGGGGTACGGGGGCGCTTGGCCATGTTTTCTGGGGGAGGGGACTCTACAGACTCCCCACCAAAGGTAAGCCACTTCGATTATTCTATTCATTGCTGTACAAGAAATTGCACTTATATTTCAAAGAGAAGGTCGAGGTCGATTCATTCTCTTTGGAATAATTTACCATTTAATTTGAGAATCATAACTTGCTTAGAGACCTTTATATCCAAGTTGAAATATCATCTCATTAATAATGCCTGTACTTGGCACTATGACACTCATCCAAACTCTCTTATTCTTTCAATTTTCGGAATAGAATTGTCTAGATAGACGGTGCTTTATAAATGCCTCTTATTATTATTCTTAAATCTCGATTCTTGGTTCTTTAATCTTCTCCTTTCATTTATTTCCATAACAGAAATCAACTCCTGCTAAGGTCAACATTTACAAGTAAAGCTGACAACTCTTGATGGAACTGGAATGTGAACAGAGATGACCAAACTGTTTGAGTTTGTTATACATTATATACATTAGCTTTAAGATTATATTTATTCTTCGTAGTAATCTGTGTTATGCTAACTTGTGATCGATTCGAAACACTACACATTTAAGGATTATAGATAATGAAGAGTTACTGTAGAGAGTCTAATCAGTAGCTTGCTATTTTTATTTACATAATGTTCTTTGGTATCGTCTGTTTTTTTAATAGCCTGATTATGCAAATATTCTACTATTGGCTTGATACTTGTAGCTTTTATGTACATTCTTGTATGTGAATCTTGTAGCATCTGCATGCATTCTATTTATAGTGTTCAGAAATTCTGCTGTCTAAAAGTACATGTAGAATCTACCCATATTCTATATTATTCTTTGAATATATAATTTTCTGTTACGTATGCATATTGCTGTTCTTTGAGTCCAATAAGTACATGCCAGTGAAAGAGATATAGGAGTGAGCGATTTTGGTTCCTTAAAATTCTGAAAGTACTCGGGTAAAATTAAAAAAGAACTCTGGTAAAAACGATCAAATATTTTAGAATGTCTCTGTGAGATAAGCACACTCTCACAACACCAAATCCTAAATAAAGAGCTTCAGTGAACAAAAAAGTATTTGTGTACTCTTGTATGTATGATTAATGAATATTATACCCTCATTTCAGCTACATGTATTTTGTTAAATGTAATTGTTGTTGTTGGGTTGTAAGAGAATAATCTGTGCTGAGGATAGCATTAGTTTCAATAGTTTTTAACGTCATCATTGAAAAGTGTATACGCATCATAGTTGCTAAACTGATGACCCTACTTACACATGTCTATGAACCATAACTATACTGTTTATTAAAAAACATGTATATCTTGAGTAATTTCCAGATATCAAATCTATGTTGTGACCATTGTAAACAATAATCAAACTGTTTTTGAGTAAATTAGATTTGTGTTAGTCTTTGATTGAAAATGATGCAAAACCCAAGTAGCTCCATATAACTAATGTCCAGATTTTAGAATCAGGATATAATTTTTGCTACGTGATCATTGTGATGCTTATACTTTACACAGTATTATGTAACCAACTTATTCAAGTAGATGTGCTATTTACATGTACATGCTTGGAGACATTCAAAAATAAAATATCATTGTAGAGATTATAAAGTTGTGTATTGTACCTCTTGTATATCTATATTTCATTTTCTTATTGGTAAATGTTTTTTGTCCTCCCCTCTCTCTATTTCTCTCTCTTTCCCACATACACACACTCTCTTTTTCTTTCTTTCTTTTCCCCTCCCACTCTCTCTCTCTTTTGTGAGCTACTGTTGTCTCTCCCATAAGAACATTTTACTTCCCCCCTCCCCTCCCCCCTCCATCTCTCTCCATTCCACCTATCTTCGTCATAAAAATACATGTATTTCAATAAGAAAAAATAAGATTTCATGTACAGGTAATTCAAAACATACTTTACAGTTTATTGAAACACCAAACAAATCTATTGCACTGCGAAATAAGTTGAAACATTCTTGCAACGATATTTAAATACATTTACATACATGTAGGCCTATGTGGTATTTATGTACCTAATTATAAAGTCTAGATTACAAAGTATGTCATCAAATATGCTAGAATATATATTTACATAACTAGAATGTAGTGTACATACACCCCTTTTAAAGCGATAAGGAACAAAAAGAACTTGCATTGTTAATACTATTAAAAAAAATTCCTTACAGAACATGAAAGAGAGACGAGAAAAAACCCCACATAATTATGATATATGATTACTGAATATAATGCTTTGTTACAATATGTTACTTCAGACAATTGCCAATCCAGTATTACTCCGCGATATACAACGTTTGTAATTCGGATGACCATTCTAATGGCAAGAATCTATTGTGAAGAGATAATAATGTTGTGTCCATTGTGATTCAATAATTTCACGACATAAAATTTTTGCAACTAACCTGGACTTCTTGCAAAAGTCGCGAAACATTTCCTGAGTGTAAAAGTTTCTGGTTTTTACAGTAGCATCCATAGTCTTGCATAACAAGTTGCAATTAAACACATTTTAGTGGGACAAATGCGATCCAATATGCCTCTGCCTAAATTTATTTCAGATAATTTTTTTTTTTAATATCATGAGAACATAACGCTTATAAATGTTATAACATGTTGATTAATCTTTACAACCTTTAATCTCTGATTGGACAATCCTAAAATCTTATCATTTGTCTCGCTATGGTGACACATACTATGTTAAACAAGTTTTAATTCACAGCTAAAATAGCTTAAAATAGTAATTGATATGGAGATAATTAACAAGGTCAAAAAACCTTAATTTCATGTATATCGACTCGCTAACCTGAAATCTAATCAATTTTTGTCGCTATGGTGATGTCTTACATGACAGAATTAATCAATTTTCCCTTTTTTAGTCATCGATGGGGAAATCCCTGTCATATTTTAAGAATAGTAGCAGTAGTACAGGTGTCATATTCAAGTGGATATGTCACCAGACTGTGGATCCCAAGGTCCGCGGTTTGAGTCCCGCGGCGGCACTAATGTCCATTGGCAAGACATTAATCTACATTTGCCCCACAGCCACTCAACGCAAGTGAGGTAAATGGGTACCTGGTAGGATCCTTGAAATGCACTGTGCTGATAATGGCTGCCGGAGCTAAAGCTAGTGTAATAATGTCCAAAAACTCTTTGGAAGCGCATAGAGACTTTATATCTTAATGTGTTATGCGCTATACAAGAACGGACTATTAGTGTACTATGTATAGAGCAGTCGAAACCTTAAAGAGTGAGTTATCAAAATTTGCTTTGTGGCATGCACGCTTGCTAACAAACTTCTGCCAGTTGATCTATGATCAGGGCCCCATTTCATAAAACTTGTTATCAATAACAAGATAAAAACTTTGCTCTCATCCAATCAACTGTTAGGATTTCAGTAGCTTATATATAACAGGTATTGGAACTTGTTATTGATAACAGGGGTGTTTCATAAAGCTGTGCGTAAAGTTACCCATATGACTTGAAAATGAAGAGCTAAATGGGATTTTCAAATCCTTTTAATTGCATGAGCTAAAGTTATAATATATATGCAGATTTAGATTAACCTTATCATTTTTAACAAAACATTTTAATGCAAAGTGTATTTTTGGCTACAATTTAATTGAGATTATGGGAAACACAGTCACGGTCTGTTAAAATGTCAGGAAAAATTTTGGGCATCCCATTTGGCTCTTTATATTCAAGTCATTCGTAAAGTCATGCGTAACTTTACGCACAGCTTTATGAAACGCTCCCCCAGGTTTGATCAAAACAGGGCCCTCCCTGGCTTATCAAACGCTTCATGATCTTGATCTCTTGCTGGGAATCTCTGATCTATGATCAGGGCCCAATTTCATAAAACTTGTTATCAATAACAACTTTGCTCTTAGCCAATCAACTGTTAGGATTTCAGTAGCTTATAACAGGTATTGGAACTTAATTGTTATTGATAACAGGTTTGATGAAACAGGGCCCTCTTCCCTGAGTTATCAGCCGCTTCATGATCTGGATCTCTTGCTGGGAATCTCTCTGTACAGTAAGAAGGTGAAGACCATACCACCCAACTGAATAAATAAAGAAAAGAAAGAAAGAGATAAATTGATATAACATGATAAATAAGCATTAGCTCCGGGCTTTATTTTATCAAATAACTAGGGTCATGGATAGAGTTACATTGGAGGAGGAAAGAGAGAGAGGGAGAGGGAGGGAGAGGGTGAGGGTGGGTGAGGGAGGGAGAGGGAGGGTGAGGGAGGGTGAGGGAGGGAGAGGGCGGGAGAGGGAGGGTGAGGGAGGGAGAGGGAGGGTGAGGGAGGGTGAGGGAGGGTGAGGGAGGGAGAGGGAGGGTGAGGGAGGGTGAGGGAGGGTGAGGGAGGGAGAGGGCGGGAGAGGGAGGGTGAGGGAGGGAGAGGGAGGGTGAGGGCGGGTGAGGGAGGGTGAGGGAGGGAGAGGGCGGGAGAGGGAGGGAGAGGGAGGGTGAGGGAGGGAGAGGGAGGGAGACAGAGGGTGAGGGAGGGAGACGGAGGGAGAGGGAGGGTGAGGGAGGGTGAGGGAGGGAGAGGGAGGGAGACAGAGGGTGAGGGAGGGAGACGGAGGGAGAGGGAGGGTGAGGGAGGGTGAGGGAGGGTGAGGGAGGGAGATGGAGGGTGAGGGAGGGTGAGGGAGGGAGAGGGAGGGAGAGGGCGGGAGAGGGAGGGTGAGGGAGGGAGAGGGAGGGTGAGGGAGGGTGAGGGAGGGTGAGGGAGGGTGAGGGAGGGTGAGGGAGGGTGAGGGAGGGTGAGGGAGGGTGAGGGAGGGCGAGGGAGGGTGAGGGAGGGTGAGGGAGGGTGAGGGAGGGAGAGGGAGGGTGAGGGAGGGTGAGGGAGGTTGAGGGAGGGAGAGGGAGGGTGAGGGAGGGAGAGGGAGGGCGAGGGAGGGAGAGGGAGGGAGGGTGAGGGAGGGTGAGGGAGGGAGAGGGCGGGAGAGGGAGGGTGAGGGAGGGTGAGGGAGGGTGAGGGAGGGTGAGGGAGGGAGAGGGAGGGTGAGGGAGGGTGAGGGAGGGTGAGGGAGGGAGAGGGAGGGTGAGGGAGGGAGAGGGAGGGCGAGGGAGGGAGAGGGAGGGAGGGTGAGGGAGGGTGAGGGAGGGAGAGGGCGGGAGAGGGAGGGTGAGGGAGGGGGAGGGAGGGAGGAGGGTGAGGGAGGGTGAGGGAGGGAGAGGGAGGGTGAGGGAGGGTGAGGGAGGGTGAGGGAGGGTGAGGGAGGGTGAGGGAGGGTGAGGGAGGGTGAGGGAGGGTGAGGGAGGGTGAGGGAGGGTGAGGGAGGGTGAGGGAGGGTGAGGGAGGGCGAGGGAGGGTGAGGGAGGGTGAGGGAGGGAGAGGGCGGGAGAGGGAGGGTGAGGGAGGGAGAGGGAGGGTGAGGGAGGGTGAGGGAGGGAGAGGGCGGGAGAGGGAGGGTGAGGGAGGGTGAGGGAGGGTGAGGGAGGGTGAGGGAGGGAGAGGGAGGGTGAGGGAGGGTGAGGGAGGGTGAGGGAGGGAGAGGGAGGGTGAGGGAGGGAGAGGGAGGGCGAGGGAGGGAGAGGGAGGGAGGGTGAGGGAGGGTGAGGGAGGGAGAGGGCGGGAGAGGGAGGGTGAGGGAGGGTGAGGGAGGGAGGGCGAGGGAGGGTGAGGGAGGGTGAGGGAGGGAGAGGGAGGGAGACAGAGGGTGAGGGAGGGAGACGGAGGGAGAGGGAGGGTGAGGGAGGGTGAGGGAGGGAGAGGGAGGGAGGACGAGGGGGGGTGAGGGAGGGAGGGCGAGGGAGGGTGAGGGTGGGGAGGGAGGGTGAGGGAGGGAGAGGGCGGGAGGGTGAGGGAGGGAGAGGGCGGGAGAGGGAGGGTGAGGGAGGGTGAGGGAGGGTGAGGGAGGGAGAGGGCGGGAGAGGGAGGGTGAGGGAGGGTGAGGGCGGGAGAGGGAGGGTGAGGGAGGGAGGGCGAGGGAGGGTGAGGGAGGGTGAGGGAGGGTGAGGGAGGGAGAGGGCGGGAGAGGGAGGGTGAGGGAGGGTGAGGGAGGGGGAGGGAGGGTGAGGGAGGGAGGGAGAGGGCGGGAGAGGGAGGGTGAGGGAGGGTGAGGGAGGGAGAGGGCGGGGAGAGGGAGGGAGAGGGCGGAAGGGTGAGTGAGGGAGGGAGAGGGCGGGAGAGGGAGGGAGAGGGAGGGTGAGGGAGGGTGAGGGAGGGGGAGGGAGGGTGAGGGAGGGAGAGGGAGGGTGAGGGAGGGAGGGAGAGGGCGGGAGAGGGAGGGTGAGGGAGGGTGAGGGAGGGTGAGGGAGGGGGAGGGAGGGTGAGGGAGGGAGAGGGAGGGTGAGGGAGGGAGGAGAGGGCGGGAGAGGGAGGGTGAGGGAGGGTGAGGGAGGGAGAGGGCGGGAGAGGGAGGGAGAGGGCGGAAGGGTGAGGGAGGGTGAGGGAGGGAGAGGGAGGGTGAGGGAAGGAGAGGGAGGGAGAGGGAGAGAAGGGAGGGAGAGGGAGGGGGAGGGAGGGTGAGGGAGGGAGAGGGAGGGTGAGGGAGGGAGGGAGAGGGCGGGAGAGTGAGGGAGGGAGAGGGAGGGAGGGAGAGGGAGGGAAGGGAGGGAGAGGGAGGGCGAGGGAGGGTGAGGGAGCGAGAGGGAGGGAAGGGAGGGAGATCGAGGGATGGATAGAGAGAGAGGGAGGAAGGAGAAAGGGATAGAGTCATCTTAGAGAGGAGGGAGAGATAAAGAGAAAGGGGGAGGGAGGGACAGAGAGAGAGATTGATTTAATCATTTATTCATTCATTGCATCCACAAGGTTGGATTTCAAATTAAAACCACAAAGTGTAAAAATAATTTCAACAATTTATGTTATTTATTTCTACAAAATCCTGCATGAATTCACCCCGGTAAAGTTATACTCACATGTAAGACAGATATGCAGATCGCCACTCCTCCCACGACCCCTCCGTACTCTGTCACACGAGCCTCTGTAGCCGTGAGGCATCCCTGTATAATAAAGATGATAAATAAACAAATTTTATTAAAGGGATCCGGTAACTTTGTTTCAGCTTCTGAAACAAAATCCGGGATTTAATAACTTGTGTTGCAATGATAATTATAAACTTTTAGGTAAGCCAGGACCCACATGACTTTTACAAGCAGATTGCATGTCTGATTATCAAGATATTTATGATTGGAAATCGAAATCAAATTTTGCGTTTTCCTAACGGTTTTCATAACACTACGGTCTATTGGGGAAAACAAGGATGGTAGAACCAATCACTCAAAGATTTTTACTTTTTGGAGGCACTTCATGATCATTTTGAAGCGCAATTAGTTTTGGGGCTTCAATATTACACCATATCAAAGACACTGATAACACGTAGGGCCATGCATCTCAGATTTAACATTGTTAAACGATGCCTTTGACCAAATGCGGAGATGAAGTTTATTTTTCTGAACATATAGAGAGGCATTAATCTAAAGATCCATTATTACGAAGCATCATTGACCAAAGGTCCATGATTCTGGCAATGAAATACGGTTCATGAGTCTAAAAAAGGGTTCATTTAATTCTGAAATTTTACTATGATGTAGGCCTAACTGAGAAAATATTTCTGAAACATACAATGTGTACCTTTAAAATCTGAAAGCAATGGCTAATCTGTCTTTTGAAAACATCTTTATTACTTAGATGCTGCTTGTAAGTGTCGGCTTGCATGGTGATGTAGATATACAGTAGGCTTGCGGGTGCACTCCTGACGACGGATGGTCAACCTGTTCGAAATGTCGAGCCACTCATCCTCTCCAAGCGCTATAGTTCTCCTTAGAACTATATGCTAAGAAAGATAACAACAGTCTTTTTCAGGACTACACACCCCCAAGAAAGATTACCGAGTCAGAGTCCTTTTCAGGACTCCTCAACCCTCTCTCTCTCTCTCTCTCTCACACATGGTGCACCCGCAAGCCTACTGTACATCTTTATTACTATTAAAAATCTTTGATTCTCCTGCAAAAAAAGATGAACACAACAGCAACACATCTCTGCATACATGTTACCACAATCATTCCTTACCACATTATGCAAGTAGAGTCTATACAGGTTCTGGGGCCTCTCTAACCGGCAGATGACAGGGTCGACGCCCTCTCGACAGCAGCTGGCAGGCACCACGTCGCGGGGTTTTAACGGCGACTGGTTCAGCCAGAAAGCCGTCATTTTATACTCGACCACCGCATCTATCACATCACCGGCTACGCCACAGCATCGAAACTACGAAAGACAGAGAGAGAATAATCAGAAATAGTATTTCATCTAAACCAAGAAAGACATAGAAAGAAGGATTAGAAATAGTATAGATTTTTAGAAATCTAGGCTTTCTCTGTTTTGAAACAATTAAAGCCCAAGCCTCTGTCTGGATATTATGCTACGGCCACAAAGGTTCGTAAGAGCAATAATTTCGTACAAATCTCTGTTTTTCTATTGTCTTCCCGTATTTCCATTGTCTGAAAATCTTTCGTATGGCGTTCGTAGCAGTTCGTAATGGCATTTGTGACCGATGTTTTTCTTAAAAATAAAACCACAATTTTCCAATCAATTACAAAAAAAGTGAACTCGTCTGAATATATTTATATTACAAATATACGATACCTAATATGCTACGATATTGGCATGCACAAACGAATAGGAACGGTTTTGAATGAGTAATGTCAAAAATACTTTCTATTCAGAAGATCGTGTAATGATGTCTGAGTATAATGCAAAAGATTTCTGGGGGTTATTTCACAAAGACTAAGATCGACTTTAAGTTGGACTTAATTATAGCAGGCCGTGCTGTCACCATTGGTCTCTCAATTATGATATTTAGATAAACATTTTTCCTTCAATAATGAACCGTCAAAAAGGGTAAATTCTGTAGATTTATGACCACGATTTGTACGTCCCTTGAGAAACCAATGACAGGAAAGAATATAGAAACTAGTGGCATGAATAGCCTGCCATTGTTAAGTCCAACTTAAAGTCGACCTTAGTCTTTGTGAAACACCCCCCTGGTCTGAGAGTAGCTAGATTTAAGCCCCCTTCAGATATGACGTGGCAAAACCACCACACTTTTGTTTCTTTAATGACGTAAAGCGTAATTAACTTCACATTTCTGGATCTTGTAACACTGTAGTGCAACATGAATTATCTGCATAAGACTTTTGCAGATGCCATACTTTTTACACATACAAAAAAACCTCATACTGCGCTTTTCCCATAAGGCCCAAAGCGCTTACAGTGAATGAAAATTAAAATTACATAACGTCGGTGGGGTGACAAAACCTTGTATCTCAAAAATCATGAATTTTCAGGAGAGCGAAAAAAACTTTCCTGTCTCAACAGATTTAGTGCTGTGACACCGGCCTTTGTGTGGAATTTGTGAAAAAACCGAGACGAGAGGCGTTCCATGGATTTATCAGGTGGTGTCGTAGGCCATTAGGTACAAAATTATGCAAAAAAATCAAAATCTCAAAAAACTGAGATACAAGGTTTTGTCACCCCACCGACAATAAATACATATATGGGTAATAAGAAAAAAAGTCTTACAACTACAAACTGCAAAAAAAGATGTGTTTTAAAGGCTTTTCTGAAGGTAATAACTGATGGAGACAGCCTAATTCTAGGAGGTAGCCTTACCCTTTTCTGTATGAAGTCATATGCCTCGGTGTATTCCTCTGCTCCATCTGCCCCATAGTTATCTCTCAAAGACCAGGTAAGGTTCTGCTCCGTTTCAGCCTAGAAGCAGCAGGAACAAAAAGGAAGATACTGAACAGAATGAGGCCTCTGACTGAGTAAAAAGGGGAAACATATCAGCCAGCTAACATTTAATAATAAAAGTGTAAACTCATAGAGTGCACACACCATCCAGAGACGCTCATGGCGCTAGTTCAGCAACAGTTCAAGTAAAGTAAATGTTTATTTGATAATAGAGTTAAACTATCAGAAACTCAAAAACAATTTTGCAATATTTATAAGCATTACCGTTATACTTTTATTCATCAAAATGTATATCTACTAATAATGCATTTACGTGCAGTAGCACATTGTCCATATACATGTTCAAATGTGCATTCCAGTTATATTAACAGAATAGGTGAGTTTCTAGATTTTTTGAACGGCTATTAGCTTTTTGCGAAGTTCTTGTAATCATCAAATTTAACCAAACTAGCCTAAAAAACACTGAATTTTCACATGGCGATAAGGGTATAATATAAATCAACATAGAATACTTACACTTGCTAAGAATGCCATTCCTAAAATACCGCCAGAAAACTCGATCACAAATACCGCCAGCAGCAGGTAGAAATACTGCAATGTAAGAAGAGAATAAAATGTACAAAATGAAACGAATGGGTTATGTTTTTAAGTGACTTTGTTTTTAACTTACAAGCTTCTGCTTGCCTTAATTATTTTGACAAACTATGTTTTAAAGATCTTTCATGTACACCACATAACAATCTGTTATTGTGTTTTGTGTGTGGCAATGAGCATATACAGTTTACTGAGTTTTGCAATAGCCAGTACCTTATAATTCAACAATTAACAAATGTACTATGTACATGTAATGATAATAACGATGATAGTGGGCTCTTGCACAGTGCTCATGTCTGTTAAACTTAACACTCCTGGTACTCAAGCATTTCAAGGAATAATTTTTTATTTTTTATTTTTATGATTTCAAGGAATAAATTCCCACCAGGTACCTATAATATTTACCTTTCCTGGGTGGAGAGTGGCAAATGTAGATAAATGTCTTGCCAACGGACAATAGTGCCGCGGTAGGACTCGAACCGCGAACCTTGTGATCAACAGTCTGGTGACTTCTCCCTAAGAGACCGCGTCACCTTGTCAACTGAGTGTATTTTAATCTTTGCCCCTTCAAAATACTGGCACTCAGTCGTATGTCTAAAAGTATATTTGTATACAATTTTGTTAAGCTGTGGACAATGCCTATTTTTGTTTGTCATTAATGGTCTTTCCCCCCCCCCCCCCCCCCCCCCACTTCAATGTATCATACTTTACTTTGTTGGCTGTTTCGTGTTGGATATAATACGCACAATCAGCCGGCCCATGTATTGATATTATCAATTAATGGTCAACGTATTTTTTTTAAAGTGGAGTTGAATTTGTATGATCGTATTGGCTAAATTTCACACATTTTGGGGTCTAAAATTACCTTCATAGCTATTTTAGGTCCTAAAAGGGCACTAGAAATGTCATAAATAAGAATAAGAGCGCAATAACCATGCACTTCAGTGAATGCATTTGCTGTCTTAAACAAGAACTCAAAAATCCCTTTAACTATAAGAACTTCAGGAAGGTCATATATCTTATTCCGAATGCTGTCTGCCCCTTCAACAAGCACTTCTTGACTAAGTAGCATCAATGGTTTCCCCTGATGCCGATGAGTAAGACCCGCCTACCCACAGACGACCTGACAACGTACGCACGTCATGACCTTATACATCCTGTAAAACATGCCTGAATCATGCACTCAACAACACCGTAGTCTGGATAAAAAGACCCCAGTTAATAACAATAATAATAATATTATTCCGCTTTTATATAGCTCCCAATACATCGATACAACAATGTGCACAAGCGCTTTACAGATATATTATTACCCCGGTCATCGGATTCAGGCTCACCTGCACACAATGTATGCAATGTATGCACATTTTCCACTTTCTGGGGAGTTGATTGTGAGATAATTAAACTTTAATAATCTGATTTTTAATTGAAATTATTTGCCAACACGGACTGAAAAGTTGAGTACAGTAGATTGTCACATTATTATATTTATATATTAATTTGTAAATGAGACTGATTGGTTAAAGGCCAGTATATACAGTATGTTAGCACATGTTCTTTGGAGCCTTGGGACCTGACCCCTCACAGCAAAACCAAGTATATTACATAATACATGTATATTCAGTAGCTGAAGTTTAGCTAAACTTGCTAAAGAATATAGTTTATCATTGCATTACTCCAAAACAGTCAATGAGTGCCACATACATGTATTTCCTAATGCTTTTCATTTGGATGATTTGTTTAAAGTGTCTTAACTTTTGAACCAATTTGGAGAACATTCCTAAGCTAATCATTTGCTGAATTATTGTGTGTTGATTGATATCAGCTCTTTCTGTCTTTATATATGCAAGAATTTGAATAATGAGCTAGTCCTAGATATTAGATTATTTGGGGTCTCAAATGTTACCAAATATTGACAAGTGTGACATCAAATATGTTGTTCATTTAAAAAAAAACTCAAAAAAAGCTTGGAAACTCAAGTTTGGTTAGTTATATCTCTCTTGTCATGGGAAAATTAATCGCTTTGTTTAGTATCATTAGATAGAAAGTTTATTCCACTATACAATGAAACCATATTATGATTTTGAAGCCATGGAATGAGCAGTACATCTGAATAACAGGCAGGGAAAAAAGTGAAAAGTTGCAAACTATACTGGTAAGCACTGGTATAGTTATGCAGTGCACTATGGCAGCCCAATATACACTCTTCAAAAAGAGAAGGATGCATAGCTGAACAAGAACAGTGATTTGATCTTGCCCCTTATTTTGATGTAATGCAGATTCCGCCATGATTGAGAAATCATAACGAAAAGTGGAATCATTTGAAAGAGATATAACACACTTTCTGATGCTACTAAACATTGTAATGATTATACCATAACAAGAGGGTGTTTCACAAAGATCCTAAGTTGAACTCATTTCTAAGTTGGACTTAACAATTATGGAAAGCCGTTGAAAATATTTTATGAAAGTTATTTTAAAAGGCATAAAATGTTGATACAAATCAATGAAATCATTCATAGTTTCTATTATCAATAAGATTTCACGTTCTTGATGTGGAATTTATAGAAAGTCTAAAGTACTTGAATTTGCGCTTTTGAATATATTTTATTTTGAGGCTACAAATGGCTCTCCATAACTTTTAAGTCCAACTTAGAGTTAAGTTCGACTTAGGATCTTTGTGAAATACCCCCCAAGAGAGATATAATCAATCAAACTTGAGTTCCCAAATTTATTTTGAGGGGTTTACTAGGTCTGATCCAAGCTCTGGTATGGCTCTAAATCTGATACAGTGATGATACATACTAAAATCTCTGATGTGGTCGGTAATAACTTACTAGAGAAAAATTGTTTGGACTTGCCCAAGGACTGAAAACACAGTCACTTAGCTCAAGTCCAAGGCCTTACTTTTAAAGAGTTAAGGACACCGTCTTATTAAAAGATACGATTGATTTGTATCAATCATAACTTGAAAGCAATCGCAACTGCTATCTTTTAAGTACACAGTTATGATTAATTTTAAGTTGCGATTAGTTTGAATCAATCAACTCTTTATAATACAGGGCCAAGGATAGATTCTCAATGAATAGAATCTTCCTGCCATAAAAAGATCTTGCTATGTCAGGCAAATATTTCCGCAGGCTCTGTTGTTGATGTTGAAGGAATCCACACTTCCCTGACTGACAGAGCTCTAAAATTACCCAGCTTTTCCGCAGCTAAAGCATAGATAAAATATTCCTTCCCTCTCTGAATATAACGTAAACTACTTCTTCATTATGCAAATGCTTAAGAAGGTCATCATGACGGAGACCATCGTTACTATCAACACTTCTTGGTTGGCTGCACCACACACCCATTTTTTTTCTTCTTTTGTTTTGTTTTTTATTTTTATATATTATGTAACAAATGTATTATGCAAAGGGAACCTTAATCACAAGCATAATGCTTCCAAAGTTTCCTCTTCATTACTGTAGATTATTGCTAGCATCATTTGTATTTAATGACTTGCATAAAATTGTTTTTACTGTTGTAATACCACCTATCTATCAAATATATGTACATGTTTTGTTACCTTGTATATATATGCGTTACTTTGTAAATTCTTTTCATATGCAGTTTATAGAGATTGCATTGTGAAAGAAAAGGTGTGGAATGGATCAGAAAAAAGTTGATCATGTAGCATGTAAGTATTGGTGTGTACTGAAAAGTCATCAAAATCATAATAAATTTGGCCCAGTCTTGGTAAAGTAACAAGCACTGTACACAGAAACATGTATATGGAACTACACAAATGGTGTCGGGGCTACTATACCTTGATTTCCTTATCTTTCTATGCTCATTACTCAGCCAGTATTCATCTTCTTCCAAAATTGTTTGGCATATGACATTTATTTGTAATCTTGAACATTTAGTGTAAGTTTCATTTGATTCTGTGAGAATTAATTTTTTTTTTTTTTTACCAGAACTAAAGTATATCTTTAATGTAGAAATAAAACCTATAATCAAGAAACTCACCATCTTTAGGAGACACTTGTTCTCTAGACGAGCCCCGACACATCCAAGCAGGGAGACTACGAGGATCAATGCTCCACCAAGGACGATGGCCTGGCCGGCCATCTTGAAAAGGTCGTTGCCAAGGAGAAGCGCGACCTGTTCGTTAATGGGGTCCATTTGGACCCATACTCCTATCGCCACCATTGCCACTCCTGTGAACTATAACAAATTTTATAATAATAATAAAATATTACATTTATAAGGCTCTAAATACAATGCTTCTAGCTCTTAACAAAACAAGGTACAACAAAAAATAAACATACAGCAATAATAATACATAATTCTAATAATAACATTGCGGATAATTAAAAGCTTACTTTAAATAAAACTGCCCTATAAATCACAATTAATCAAAAAATACTTCAAACTATCCTTGAGGATTGACGGATACTAACTGGTAAACTGTTCCATAATATCTCTTAGCACTAGCACTGAATTACAATGACATGTGAGTAATTCCACAAATTAGGGACCCCCTTTGTGACATTTTTGGTGTCCCTGTTACATAAGGAACCCACACGTATTTGTGGCTCTGAGTAAAGACTTAAATAGTGGAGTATGTTTGTTAAAGTGATTCTACAGTGTAGGTATGAGAATGCAATATTATGCTTGGAAATTACTTTATGACAATCTCACTCCTTATGTCACATGTTCTTGAGTGGAATTTATAAAAAAAAAAGTCTAAAATATTTGAATTTTTGCTTTTGAGTATATTTTATTTTTAGGCTACAAATGGCTCTCCATAATGTTTAAGTTCAACTTGGAGTTAAATTCGACTTAGGATCTTTGTGAAACACCCCCCAGTTGCTTGACGCATCATTTGGTAGCAATTACTCTGTCAGGATCCTACAGATGAATTTCTATCTTCATCCCTGGATCTCATGTACCTACATGTAACCCTGGGACAAATCTGCTGATAACCAATCAGAAGAAAGGATTTCAGTAGCTTATAACAAAAACTGTCATTTTACACTGATGACAAGTTTTGTGAAACATCCCCCAGATCTTAACCCTAAAACCCAGTTGTAACTCAACTCCGACTCTAAATCACTGACAACAAAAATGCTAGAGCAATTGCCACCAGAGGAAATGTCGAGGGATCGATCTACTCACCACAAAGAAGACGTTTAGACAGTAGAGAAAGACACGATAGCACTGTCCTTGCTCCGATAAGGGTGGACCAGGCGTCGGAGGATCTTCCTCGATCTCCATCACGAGTCTCTCCTTGGGAGCTATGGTGACGGTTGGTTCTTCCTCTTCTATAAATAATGAAAATAATAACGTTTTATTTACCCAGGGTAGCCACTTCAGTTATGAAACTGCTCTTCAAGGCGGGCCCTGCATAACATAATATGTTATTACTACCCTTCTCCAATCTAATATGCTGAGCGCCTAGCTAGAAAGCAGAAGGTCCCATTTTATGGTAAGTCTTTGGTATGACTTGGCCGGGGTTCGAACCCACGACCTCCCGTTCATGAGGCGGGCGCTCTAACCACTGAGCCATTAGTATACATATATATGTATAGAAGAAGGGTTTTATTACAAAAATTCCATCGTCTCGGTCTTACAACTGAATTGCCATTGGAATTCAATTGAAATACATGTATTTACAAGTTAAAAGTACAATAGTCTGGAAAGGAAGAAGGGATGAGTGAGAAATAGGAGCAAGAATCAACAAAAGGTGAGAGAAGAATGAAAGGAAAAGAAAGGAAGGGTAAGTAAGAGGAATATATCAAGAAAGATGAGGTGAAAAACATGTGTAATGAGCCTTCTACTAATTAGCTTTAAAATGTACAGATCCTCATCTTATACAAACCATAAACTTATATGTATTACAAATGTATTACAAATAATTATAAAATACATTTGACAAGAAACATAAAGTATTGTAGTTTTGTAGTATTGTAGTTATGATACTTCTCCAGGTGGTTAGTGAAATTAAGTATAATCAAAGATATCAGTCATGTTAAACGTACAGTAAATTCTACCTTCGATAAATCGGTCTCTCTATCACAAGGTTAATGTCAGTACATGTATCTCCTTTCTCAAATCGTTGTTCCCTCAGTCAGTCGTTCCCTCAAGCACAAGAAAAAAATCAGTGTTGCTCCTTTCTTGATCTTCCTTCAGTCGTTCCCTCAATCACAATCAGTGAATACTCTTTTCACTGATCTTCCTTTTCCAATATGATTTTTTTCTTCAGTCAGATATTCTCTTGTTCACAAGTCTACCGATTATGCACTGTTCTTCTTATTTCAACTTTCCTTGATCTCAAGAAATTGTCTCCTCTCTTTTTTTTATTTCATTACTTGCAATGTTATCATAACTTTGCTTTTAAATGTATTCGATGTATCTAAATCTTTCTTTGTTGGCTTATTTGTTTTCCAAGGTTTGGAAAAATGCCCTCTAAATATATCAGAGTTCCTGAAAGTCACACTATGTACCTAATGATTGTTTATTAAATAAAGCCAATTTCTTTTTATTAATCACTTTGAGATTTTACTTTCAACTGGACAATAAAGATCAATTTAACTGGATGAAAAATTCTTCTCTCATTTTTTTGCTGAAAAATTCACTTGTGTCATCTGTTGTTGCAGATCCTGGTCTTTCTGTATTCAAGTTTTCCTGCAAATATAATGATATGTCAAGAAACATATATCAAATCTTAGATTGGATTGCATGAAAACTGGACTTATCAATTTGCAGACAAAACATTTTACAATTTTATGAGAAGAAACATACAAGAATCCTAAACATGTGTTGTATGCATTTGCACATAAATAAATATACTATAGGAAATAATCACAGATCCTTTTGTAGAGATTATTCATAATTCTACAGAATATCGTCAAGTACTAATGTACAGTATTATTGCAAATGGAAATTTTATTTATAATTTAATGATTCCATCAATTATCATAATAGTCCATAGTTTCGAACTGCCAAATGTGACATACGACATTGGGCAAAAGCATTAGATATAAAAATTAATCACAAATCATAAATAAATTAAATAGGCCCCTTGAGAGTTTATTATAAGCTTTGATAATGATTCGGTTATTAAAAGGCATAAATGCTGCTCAAATGAAAACAAAAAGGTTTAGTCAAAGAAACACATTATGAAGTGTTTTTCAATATGTCTCTTTTATTCATTTTCTGTAAAATTCATAGTTGAACAACTACAACAGATTATTACTATCATTATTATAATATATCATCATATTATTTGGCAATAAAGAAGATAAATAATACAACCACTGGAACAGATAATAATACCAATTAAGTGGATATTTAATTGTGCAACGTCCATCATGTATACATTCATCTGCACAATACAGGCTTACACATGCAGGAAAATCAAAGTGACAGAATATTTCAGAAAAGGCTGACACAAAGACATCAACTCACCTCTTTATATTTGTGATGTTCCACACTAAAATGGATCCTTCCCGCGTAACTCTTAAAAATCCACATAAATCCAGAGTTTCAAAAGCACCTCCGAAAACTATAGTTTAAGACAGTTTAGCTAGTGCTTTGCATCCATGGGGCCTTCATTCACCTACTTTCAGACTCCTTAAACTCACTGCACAATTAATTGGGTGCGGTATATCATACAGCCAAATCTCTATTAGCACTTGTACATGTAGGTTTTGTACATGAGTAAACTTGTTTTTCAATGTACAGTGCGAGTATGTGTACGTGTGACGCATCTATGAGAAGGTTTTACATGCAGGCAGGGTTTCCCCCTCCTAACCCCCCTTCCTAATACCCTACACACTAGCTAGTCTCAGTTTTCTTGTTGATAGGCTATTTCCTCTGGAAAAGGAAGGAGCGTATGAAGGGCACAAAACCCACTACCCAGACCCCCCTTTCATACTGACTTCCTTTCTGTAAGGACTAAGTGCCAAACTTCAAGCATCCTTGTAAATCTCTCCTCTTGTTAGGTTCTATAAATAGGTCTTTCCTTCAGCCTGGCTTTGATATTCTTAATACAGTCAAACCTGTCTATAGCGACCTCACAAAGGGACACAAAAGTGGTCTTTGTGGACAGGTGGTCTTTGTAGACAAGTTCCTTTATTACATGTTTCAATGAGAAACCATTTTCAAGGGATAAAAAAAATTGCGGTCTTTGTAGAAAGGTTCCTAAGTACATATTTCATTGATAAAACCATTTTTAAGGGAAACAAAAAATGTGATCTTTGTAGACAGGTGGTCACTAAAGCAGGTTTGACTGTATATCATTTTTCCATTAAGTTTTGTTTTATTTTGGACTCTCTTTTCATTTTGTCCTGTATGGATTTCTTTGTGAAATAAACCCTCAAAAAAGTTTGAAAACTCAAGTAAAGGCAAAGTCCTTTTTTTTCTTACATTCTGTTTTATTTTATTTTATTTCATTTCTTGTACCTTCCTTTTAAATTCTGTTTAAGGTTCCCCCTCACAATAGATTTCTTCATAACTATTTTGAACAAGCTTTCTTTCTGTAATTTCTTAATGAGGTGTTTTTAAATCATTAATAAAAATGGGTTTCATGCATTTTTTTTTTTATCTGCAACCAATTGTTCAATTAATATCTTGTGTCTGCAAGAGACCAATAAATGCACCTACTTATCTACCTACATGTATCTTTCTATCTATTTATTCATCAATCTATCTTCTTTTAAAGCTTTTTTGCTCATTCCTATTTCCCCAATTTCCTTTTCTTTATGATATTTCATCAAAACTGTTTAATAATTTCTTCTTTTTTGCCATTTTTTGTTTTGCCTTTATCTTCATCTGTTCCAAATAATTTCTATCCTGCCATTTAAATGAAAGCTTCTTCAGATATTTTTACCCTCATTTCCCTATTCAATTTCCCTTTCCATTTTCCATTCTCTTTTATCTCAATCTGTCTTTGATCTCTACAGACTACTCATTTCCACAAGGCTACAAAATCCCAGTTCCCTGGTTCATCTTCCTTGATTAATGGATTTTGACCAACTTTCCAGGTAATCTAGAGCTATCAATAGGCCTGTCTTCATCAGCTCGAGATTGCCAAATATCCCGCTATTTGAACTATCCGTTTGCAAATTATCCAGTTAATTTGCCTCTTCATCAGCCCGAAGTTGCAATTAGTGGGATATTTGGTCGAGATAATCATCCCAAGATATCTTGGGCTAATTTGCAATATATCCCACTATTTTTCCGGTGCGAACGCTGAGCAAAATATCTTCAGCTAATTTCTCGAGCTCGAGTTTCAAATTTCGAGGTAAAGTCTCGAGCTGATGAAGACTTCTGGAATATTTCCCAAATCAGAAATAGCGGGCTATTTGGCAATCTCGAGCTGATGAAGACAGGCCTAATGATTGCACGTCACATGGCTAAACAAGCGATCTTGTGAAGTCTGATCTAAAGATGACATGTGACTAATTATGCCAGAGTCCTTGGTTTGTTTTGTTAGTCTAATCAAGCTTGTAAACTTAATTAAGGGAAATATTTAAGTAATGAGTTAATGACCTGTTAGTGTTACTTTTCTCACTCTCTCTCTCTCTCCTCTTCCTATTAATCTGTTCATCTTCATTTTTTTTCTCTCTCTACCTATTAACTATTTCTCCCTCTCTTGATTCTATCTGTATTTATTATATCTGTCTCTCTCTTTCCCAATGTCTTTCTTCTCTTTTTCCCTTTCCCCCCTCTTTTTATTCAGCCTCTCTGTGGCTCTCTCACTTTCTCACTCTCCTTATTTTCTCTTGACACTTTTACATAACTTTCAAAGAAATTTGGTAACAAGTTGGTCTCTTAAAGGGGGTGTAGCATGGCAAATACTGGTTAATGCCATCTACGACTCTTTTGGACAACTGCATGTTAACGAATGGTCCTGATCATAATGGTCAGTGCGCTAGCGTTCGTGAAACAGACCGAAGTTCTCTTCACGCTTCGGTTTCGCGTATGTTGCATGCACGTGAATACTGCAGTAATGTCGTCCATAGGCGTATCATACCCGATTAGCCCCAAGCCAGGCCACGGAAAAAACACATAGTCTTGTCATGCTACACACCCTTTAACTATCTGTCTACCTCTCTCTCTCTCTTCCTCCCTACCTCTCACTTTCTATCTCTCTCTATCAGTTACTCTCTTCTCCTCATCTCTACCAAATTCATTTTCTATTTCTCTGTCCGTCTCTTGCTCCCTCTGTTTATTCCTGTCTCTCTCTACCTGTCTCCTCCAACTTTCTCTGTATTAAAGGTATAGACCAGCTTTGGAAATGCCCCCCTCTCAAAAAAATGAAATGGAAGGCTGGAAGCTCTTATTACCAATCATGTGAAAGAATATGTTTTGACTAATATGTGATGATACAAATTTTGCCGGGAAACCGCCTACTAATTGATATATTTGGTAAATTATCATATCGATCCGGCCTGGATAGATATCGAAAATGTACTTCAACATTGAACATTTGGGCATATATTTCTGCTTTTTTGCAAATTCAGGTTGAGGTATTGCCATCTAAAGCTCTGAAGGCGATATTTAAACAATATTTGAAAGGATATTTTGCACCCAAAACCCTTGAACCGCAATTTTACCAATACCGGTCTATATCTTTAACTTCCTTTCTACAATCTAGCCTTCCATGTGACTACATGAAGCTATCGAGCATTACTTAGAACAGCAGAATTCTCACACACTAAAATGCCAAGACTTGCTCAAATATATTAGTTCATTTGTTTGAGAGAATTTAAAACTTTCATCAACAGATTGAATTTTATAAAAGGTATAATATCTAATCCTATTCCTTAATGTATGTGACTTAATCATTTTTGAATTGTTTGAATTCCATATCTTTAGGCGAGGCATCAAAAATAAATATACCAGCCAGCGGCAGCTAACTGCACTTGTGCGTCCTGGCTGCATTTTTTAAATTAGCTCAGCCGGCTACCGCTGGCGGTAGGACCCTCAATTAACTCATGATGTCATCATAATGGTCTCCGAACAAAAGCATGCGCCGGCTGCCGCCTTTCGAATGGACACCGAGCCTCAGATCCCAGCCTGGCGCAAGCCGGCTGGGCTAATAAGTGAAAAATAATTGCCCCAGCCAGGCTTCGGCCGTAATTGCAGCCTCGATGCGCCAATACGTGAGGCGGCAGCCTGCTGGTATCGATATTTTTGACGCCTCGCCTTACACATTTAAAGATTTTTAAAGGCCAGTAGGCAATATCATGAATCCTGTCACTTTCACAATTGTTTTATTTTCACAAATAAGCGGCTTTGTTGTAGGGTCACAAATTCAATAACACCCAGTATGCATGTAAGAAGTATGACCAAAAAATAATTTGCAGAAAAAATCTGTGGACCCTTTCACCCACAAAATCTCTCCACAAGTATGTTTGCTTTGACTGTATGTTCAGCTCTCTCTCTCTCCGAGTGAAAACTTGTGCATGTATGTTTGCACTACGTTATTCTTGTAAATGATTGTAATTATGAGTTTGAAAGAATAATCAACTTTCAAAACAAATTATAATGGATATCAACAGTTAGTTATTTATTTCACAACTTTGACTGAATGATTTACAGACAATGAAGATTTCAAAAAAAGTGTGGCATAAACATATACATATCAAAACACAAATACACAAACTCATAGTCGGATCACACATCAACTAGTCTGTTTGGACTGCTAATATACTCCCTGACATACACAGATATCAAAATATTACAGCTAACATGTTTACAAAGGGCACTTTCAGAAAAAAAAGTGTTATAAAAATACAAACATGTATTTCTAACAGCTAGAACTAGTATAGTATCGATATTTGAAACATAAAGGGGCTTGAAAAGTACGACTTCAACCTGCAATGGTTGGAAACTGCCTCATAGGTTTTGAAAACTACAAAAGTTTCTAGTTACAGCCTTTTTTTCTAAAGAAGCCACCTGAATTTTGGGGGTTATTTTAGGGGGGAGGGTGGAGGAGGTTAAATGATTTTTAAGATTAAGATGAAGGTGAAATGTAGGATTTACTCAAGGACCATTATAATACTTTGAGACTGTAAACAACATAATCATCATCACTATTATCATCATCATTGTCATCATCATCATCACCATTATAGTTATCATTATCGCGATCATTATTATCATCATTACTATTATTATTATTACCATTATTATCATTATCACCATCAATATTGTCATCTTTATTTCTCTCCTCCCCCTCCCCTCCCCCTTCAATCTAGAAAACATTTGTGCATTGTTTTACTGTTTAATCATGGTCTACACATTTATGTCACAAATTCTTTCAGAGATCACTGACATTACCCAGTTATTCAGTTAAACTAATAGTTGCACGTTTGACGGGCGTTTCACAAAACTTGTCATCAGTGACAAATGACAGTTTTTGTTATAAGCTACTGTAATCCTCGCTTCTGATTGGTTATCAGCAGATTTGTCACTAATTTTTGTCATTTGTCATTGAAAAAAGGCTTTGTGAAACAGGGTCCCTGATGTTAACTCGTTGAATGCCAGCCACAATATCCCTGTAAGTGAGTTCTACAGAGAGTGTATGATACTATGTGGCTTGGCAGTCAGGGGGTTAAGTCTTAGACTACTCTTGCCTCAGCTTCTGGCTTGGTCACCTCCGCTCGATACCAAGACAAACAGAACCACAGGAACGATGTACATCCACTGCAATGGAAGAATAAGAAAAGTTGTGTTTAGACGTTGAACAACCTTACTCTCATTTAATGTATGCTAATTAAAGGCATTGATGCATGGCCCTACATGTTATCAGTGTCTTTGATATAGTGTAATATTGAAGCCCTAAAAAAATTGCGCTTCAAAATAATCATGAAGTGCCTAAAAAAAGTAAAAACCTTTGAGTGACCGGTTTTTACCATACTCATTTTCCCCAATAGATTGTAGTGTTATAAAAACCATTAGGAAAACAAATTTTAAAATTTCAATTTCCAGTCATAAATATCTTGATATTCAGACAGGCGATAGGCTTGTAAAAGTCACTCATGGGATTCCTGACTGACCTAAATGTTTATAATTATCATTGCAGCATGAGCTAAATCCAGGATTTTGTTTCAGAATCTGAGACAATGATCCCCAAGCCCTTTAAGACATTGTACAACCATACTCTCAATTAATGTATGCTAATTAAGTCAAGTCCCTGCCCAAGTCTGATTGTTATGCATGCTCTCATGTTCAGATGCCATTGCTATTGTGTTTACCCATAGCCCTAGTGCAGACCTGCCAACTTCTGGAGTTCAAACACTGTATTAAAAGAAGACGGGTTGCGCTATTACATGTTTCAATGAGAAACCAAATTCAAGGGAAACAATAAAAAGGGGTCTTTGTAGACAGGTGGTCTTTCTATACAGGTGGTCACTAGGTTTGACCGTATATGCTTACTTACATATTTTGCTAAGAAAGATCTGTTATCTGGTCCTTTTCCTTTCTCCTTCATCTCTCGTTCGTCTTCCATTTTCCTCACAAATGCCTGTGTATCAGGTCTGTAGTAAAAAGTGACAGAAAAAAAAAAAAATCATCATCATCAAATTATATAAAATAAGTTGTGTGAGAGTACCCTACTATTGGCTGGGAAACTGTCATGTGACTCAACATTTCGTTATATGTGCACGAGCATGCAGTATAACAAACTTTTCTGCATGGTAAAATGAGTACAAAAATGAATTAAACTGCGCACCTCTCTTCCCTGCCTGTACCCATTGTTTGCTTTGTCTTAGCTGCCCACATTTCAAAGGCAACAGTCCTGAATGTAATTAATAGGGCATGAATCTAAAGGATTGCAAATAACCTCAATTTTGAATAACAAGTGTTGCATGCATTCACCTCCAAGTTTAGAATTCCCCTTGTGCAATATATTTCAACTTCAGCCTGTGGCCTATGTGAAATATAACATCACTCAGGAGATTCTGCATTTGTTGGTTCATTTATTAAATGCTGAAGCACCGCAATATTTATTGAATATTTCTATAAAGCCTTTAAGCTGTATCTTTACACTTTAAAGCATAAAACGTCAGATCATGTTACAAATATATTCCCTACCCCCAGAATTGATCAGAGGGCCTGAAAATAACCTAGAATGAGCTATTTTATACACAAAAAAAGCCTAAACTATGGTCTGAAAATAGCTTGCCAGGGCCTGAATTCAGACTATTGCCTGAAAACTGGCATTCCTGACAATATACACTAATAACTCTATACTAAATGTAAAAAAAATGTAAGAGTGAAGAAACAATATTAAAAACTAATGTTGATTTGCAGAAGCAAAGATAATTCATGCAGATATTTAGTCTTCTTGTTCTTGTTCTCTATGGTCTGTATTAAAAATAATAATACAAAAAAGGCTTTTATTTAAAGAGGTCTTGAAATCTAGTACTCACGTTGGTCCCGCTGTAGTAACCTGAAGTGCAACACTCGTGTTGAAGTAATCTAGTAATGATGACGATTCAACGGTGGGGTCGCGGTCACATGACCCATCCATCGGTACAAGAGACACGCCCAGAACGTTTCCTGATTGGTCGACGCTAACCGTAATGTTGTCCGTGAGACGGGACTCTAAAAGTGCACACTGTATCAATTCAAGGAAAAAGAAAAAACAATCACAACATAATACTATGTATATGGGACTGTGGAAACCTGCTTGAAGGGATTATTACACTGGCTCAACTGACAACCGAGAGTGAAACTGAGCCCCGTTTCATAAGAATTGTTATCAATAACAAGGTACAATACCTTTTATAAGCTACTGAAATTGTGGCATTTGATTGGCATTGGCATTGGCATTTTGACTGAGAGCAAATTTGTCATAGAAATTTAGCATTCGTTATTGATAAAAAGTCTGATTACACAAGGCATTTGTTTTGGGAAAAAAATTATATATATATACATAAATATTTATGGACATGAGTCTGGAAATATTCATTTCAAAAGATGT